TAATACCATGGTTTTTAAGAATATAGTGATTAAATCTCCCGCAAACCGAGGGAGGTTTGTGAAAGTCCCGAGGGAAAGCCTGAGGGCGAAGCCCGAAGGCGTCCCAAGGGACTTTCACAAACCTCCTCGGTTTGCGGGAGATTTATTCACTATATTCTTAAAAACCATGGTATTAGTTTATAATAACATGATGACCGAGGTGAGGCTAGTGTTTTCATTGTACAAAATTAATTGATAGTACGAGTATTGTGTAATACAATGCATGATCAGTGATGTATACAACAATTTTCCATTGTCAGAAATTCGTTTGCGAATAAACAATTCTTAATTACGTGTGTTAGTGCTGGGTGCATGTATGCATATAAAATGAGTTACTTTTTAACTCAACTCTTGTTTTTGGACGCTCACTAAGAATGATATGGCGGATAAACGTTTCTGGTTTGTTATGGAAGCCGATGTTCAGAAAGTTAGAGATAACAGAACGCCTGAGAATACTATCAAATACACTAGGTGGAGCACGAATGTTTATAAAGCATGGGCAAAGGCAAGAAATACCGAGTTTCGTGATTTTGAAGCCGAGAGTGAAGTATTCAAGCGTGTGCCAGATTTGCAGGAGATGAGCGTTGACGAAATTAATCACTGGTTTAGCCGATTAACGCTAGAAGTACGGAAGAGAAACGGTAAAGAATACCGCCATGAAGTCGTGTATAGTCTGTTTTGTGGTTTAAACCGGACAGTTCAGTTGCAATATCCAAAGTTAAACCTGTTTAATTCGGCTGAGTTTAAGCCGCTTCAGCAAACGCTCGATGGGAAGCTGAAAGAACTATATACAGAGCACCCAAAGCCCAATGAAGAAGAGAGCAGATGCAGTGACGGTTAGCGATGAAAGGGTATAGATTTGAGCGCACTACTACAAGGAGCTAATTGTGGAACTGTGAACATCAACATTAATATGAGTAAATAAATTACTGTCTTTATAATATAGTTGTGTGAAATGTTTAGTGAAAAGTGAATATTAATAAGTCGAGTAATTAACACTTTATCTTACTGTCATTAACATTGTAGTGTAATTATTTTGTTTGTGGTGTAAAAGCTATTAAGAAAACTCTTTGTCGTGTCTTTGAATTTTGGCTCATGACTTTTAATCAGGGAGAAATTAGAAATATTCCCGGCTTTGCCTGGAGAATTAGATATCTCCCCGCTAAGCCGGGAATATCGAGATTAAACCACCCGGCGAGAACAAAAGAACCCGAGGTCATCATGATATTATGAAATATATACTGAATGTCATAAACATACTCGTTTATATTAATTCAGCATGGAACAATACTAGTTCTGCAAGTGTTATGTTAAGTTGTGTAATTGTACACTCCGTAATATGTTAATTAAAATGTTCTCGAGTGTGTATTATATAATTTCCATACCCAGCGTAAGCAGAAAGATAAAGTCTGCCGCGGCTGGGTCTTGGACCCGCGACGTTCGAGTGACTAGATCGACGCTCTACCAACATTCAGTATGACATTCAGTATATATTTCATAATTTCCAGTCGTAAAACCGTTTGACCGTATAGCTCAGTTGGTAGAGCGTCGATCTAGTAATTCGAAGGTCGCGGGTTCAAGACCCGCGGCAGACTTTATCTTTCTGTTTACGCTGGGTATGGAAATTATATAATACACACTCGAGAACATTTTCATCTTAATATATATCATAATATATATCATCTTAATATTTGCCAAATTTTGCATGAACTGGCGAACATTTGGAGAAAGTTTGATAAAAATCGGACTGATTTTGAGCGCGCAGTGGCGATTTTCCACAAAACGCCAAAAAGGGTATCCTCTAGCCTTAATAAAAGAGACCGAATAAAGGAATGTTCATAGCATACGACGTTTAGGTATATATGATTTAGGTAGCCTATATATAATTTTTTCAGATAAAAACCTGAATTTAGTTTTTTTCAAGCAAGCAGATGGACGGTGCCACTTGAGCTGTCCCGAAGCCTGCATGTTGGTTATATGTTTCATTTTTGCAAGTTCTTACAAGAAAATTTGGCCTTATGTTGTTAAGCACTTTAACACATTTTCGCCATTACCTTCACTCTTTGCGTTTTGAGTATCCGCATTATAGTTCGTACAATATAGTTTAATTGTTTATCAACATCATTATGCACACTTGCTATAACACAAGCAAATCTGTTGTGAAGTGTTTGCAAACGCATGGATTGGATTTCACAAAATATATTCAAAACGTCATGATAGGAAATATAATAGGCAATTAATATGATTCTCGAATGTTATTTTCTAACGTATACTATCCATATAATTTTATCACGACTATAGAGTTTTGCTTTGAAATATTGCTTCATTGTTTTGTATAGAACATTAATTTGTTCTCGCTTGGTGGTCAGAGTATAAGCATTTGTCTATTAACAAGTATACAGCTGCATTTCAGTTTTGCTACGTTCGGCTTAATTAAGTTGGTCTCCATAAACCATTTCCGAAGAGTTCAGTTATATATCCTAACTCATTAGGCCTACTATAAATTATATATCACTTATGCACTTATCAAATGATGTAGCTAGTATTCGTGTCATCAGCAAACAACCGCAGAGATATTACTTTATTCATTCAGCAACGTTTTAGTACTAGGTATTATAGGCTATAAAACATAATAGCTTGGTAAGGTACTGAAACCGTAATAGCGAATGAATACCCAAACTTGTAAAATTAGGCTTGTCTCGATCGACCAAAGAGAAAAAAACATCATAAAGTTTCGAACAAAAGAAATGAAAATTTGGATGTACTATAATAAAGGACGTATCGAGAAAGCTATTTTGTCAGCAAGCGTGTCATTCTGAGAAAATCACCAGGCCGGTACATACACTGTATGGCTTTTCTACCAGGGAATACCCTTGGCAATTCTGAATTCTAGTGCAATTTTATTTTATTGTGAAATATTTATTAAAAATGTGTTTATAACTTCTGACAACATTTTCAGAGTAATTTCCTGATGTGGGCCATAGCAGCTTTATCGAAACGTTCGTGGCTTTTTATGTACAATTTAAGCCACACTCTCGTTCAAACATTTTCGTTAACCTAGAAATAACACCATATAGTCCAGTCAATCTGTGACCAGAGGTCAAAGAAATTGCAATAGAATGTTTCTCAGTGGTAAAATGTGATGGAAGGTGTCCTGATTAACATACTAAAAATAAAAAAAATACCTTCGGTGGAACATGGTGAAAATCAAGTTTTTCTTACTTCTGCCTATAGAAAACCATTGTGGACAAAATGTTCAAATTTTGAAATCATTTTTAGCAAATGTAACCTACATTATTGGAAAGCTTAAACAAAACTATATAAAGGTCAATTAAACCCTTATATTCAATTTACTGTTCAGTTTGTCGTTACTCTAGCTCAAAGTTGGAAAAATAGCGCAAAATTTGCACAAAATACAAATTTATGGCATTTTAAATCATGTATAACTTCGGCTGGATAGGCAAACGCAAGGTAACCGTTTATAATGATCTATATTTTAGTTTTTTCTAAGCTTTCCAATGATGCATGTTATATTTGCAAAAAAATAATTTCAAAAATTTCAACATTAATTTTTGTCACAATCACACGTGGTCAACTAAGATGGCGGAGCTTTGTAACCTCTGTATTTTTTATGTTATATTTCGTTAATATTTCGTTGTATTTATGTTATTTGAAGTTTATTTTGTCTCAATTATGTCAGTTATCACAGCAGAAGTTTTAAATACTATTTTTGATCAAAAATTAGAGCCATTAAATAAGAAAATTGATGAGGCAATCAGTTCAATGTCGTTCATAAATGAAAAATATGAACAAATATTAGTCAAGTTGTCGAAGTTTGAAGAAGAAAAGAAGTCTCTTGTTAATGAAAATAAAGCTCTGAATAATGAACTTCAAAGAGCTACAAACAAATTGCAAGAAATAATGAAATCGCAAGACGATATGGAGCAATATATCAGACGTGAATGTCTCGAAATCCGTGGGATACCATGCTTGAATGATCAGGAAAATACTAATAGTATTATAAAGGACATTGCAAAGGCGATCGATGTTGATATTACGGATATAGATATATCCACAAGTCATCGGCTGAAATCCAACGTTTCTTATAAAGGGAAAAGCAAGAATTCACCACCAATTATTGTGAAATTTATACGGCGTGAGACGAAAGAGAAATTATATAAAGCTCGTAAGAAGCTTAATAGATTAACCACAAAAGATCTTGGATATGTAATCGAGCAGAAAATTTTTATTATGGAAAGTCTGACCAAAAGAAATAAAGTTTTGTTCAATATGGCTTACAATTTGAAGAAGGAATACCAATATAAATTCATTTGGACGTACAATGGGAATATATATTTACGAAGAAATGAACTTAGTCCTGTCATCAACATTAAAAATCAGCGTGACATTCAGCATTTGAGGGAGTGATATTTACCAGTGAATTGTTGTGCTATTATCTATTAGATAAGTGTTTATTTAATTGAATATTGAGGTAATGTCTACTAGCATGGAAAGTAGAATCGAGCAATATAGCTTGTTGCCTGGTTTTGTATTTAGCTCTGTAGCTACAAATGCTTCTCATTTGACAAACTCAGATATTGATTGCCACATGTTGCATGATGTCAATTTTAATTATTATGGCGTTGATGAGTTCCGCAATAATAATGATATAGCCGAATGTTTTTCGAATAAAAATTCTTTTTCTGCTTTAAATTGCAATATAAGGAGTTTGTCTGCAAATCATGATAAATTATCACATATGTTATCTCTATTGAATTTCCCATTTTCCATAATTGGCCTGTCTGAAACAAAATTGAGATTTAATGAGTGTTCTTTGCTAAATCTGGATTTAAATGGCTATCGTTTTGTGTCTCAGCCTAGTCATTCAAACGCTGGTGGTGTGGGATTTTATATTAAGCAGACTATCAATAGTATTGTTCGTGAGGAATTAACTGTTTCAGTCTCGGAATTTGAAGCTTTGTGGGTTGAGATACCAATTGATGGCCAGCATAATATTTTATGTGGAATTATTTACCGACATCCTACTGCCAATGTTAATATATTTTTGGATTATTTGAATTCAACTCTTGATCGGATCCACAGGGAGAATAAGTACTGTATGATTATGGATGATTTTAATTTAAATATTTTAAATTTTGATTCTCACTCTGGAACTGATGAATTTATTAATATGCTAACCACCTTATTTTTTCAACCGTACATTTTGCAACCAACACGAATAACTGATCATACTGCAACTTTAATTGACAATACATTTTTTAACTCACTTGATCATTTTACCATTAGTGGTAATTTAATTTACGATCTTTCTGACCATCTGCCTAATTTTTTAATTATTCATAAATTTTCAAATTTGCCAACAAATGTTAAGATGTATAAGAGAGACTATTCTCGACTTGATGACACAGCTTTGATTGCTGAAGTTCAGTCAGTTAATTGGACTGCTTTACTATCATATAATAACCAAAATCCTTCAGATTTATTTGATTTATTTTATGAGCAAATCACTCAAATTGTAGATTCACATATACCAATTAAACAATTGTCTAAAAGACAGATAAATGTTCAGTCTAAGCCTTGGATAACAAGGGGAATTAAGAATTCCATCAAGGTAAAAAATAAACTCCATAAAAAATATCTAAAAACCAAATCAATGTATTATTATAATAGGTTTAAATTTTATCGAAATAAAATAAATCATCTTTTGCGTATTGCAAAACGTCAATATTATAATAGCTATTTTGATACAAATTTGCATAATAGTAAATTAATATGGAAAGGAATCAAAGAAATTATTCAACTGAAGCCAAAAGCCCATTTAGTTCCAACTAAAATTAAAGATGATAATTGTGAAATAGTTGATTTAAAAGAAATAGCTAATTCATTTTCAAAGTATTTTGCAAATATCGGTAGTAACCTCTCAAGTTCCATACCAAATGTAAATAAATCACCAATAGATTATTTAGATGAAACAGATCATGATAGTTTTTATATTTTTCCGGTAACAACTATAGAGATTGAAAATGAAATAACAAGTTTAAAAAATGGAAAGGCTCTGGACCATTTAGCATACCAATTAAGGCAATGAAAATTTTAAAACATGTTATATGCAAACCATTAGAAATAATATTTAATGCTTCTATATCTGAAGGAATAGTTCCTGATAAATTTAAAATAGCTCGTGTTATCCCAGTTTTTAAAAAAGGGTCGCATAGTTTGCTGAATAATTATCGACCTATTTCACTTTTATCAATATTTAATAAGTTACTAGAGAAACTCATGTATAAAAGACTTCTTCATTTTCTCCACCGTAAAAATATTCTATACGAAAAGCAATTTGGCTTTCGTACCAAATATTCCACAAGTCATTCAATTTTATGTATAGTTGATAAAATTCAACAAGCTATTGAGCAGAAAAATCACTCGTGTGGGATATTTCTAGATTTAAGTAAAGCTTTTGACACAATCAATCATAATATTTTGATTAAAAAGTTGGAGAATGGAATTCGAGGGCTAGCTCAGCAATGGTTTGTTTCTTATCTAAGTGGAAGAAAGCATTTTGTTTCTTTTCTGAGTAGCAATGGTGAAAATGTATCATCAGATCTATCTACAATAAATTGCGGTGTTCCGCAAGGATCTGTACTTGGTCCACTATTGTTTCTCTTGTATATTAATGATTTTCATAAATGTTCAAAATTATTGGATTTTCATTTATTTGCAGATGAGTCAAATTTATTCTATAAACACAAAAATCTCTTGTCACTTGAGTCTGATGTTAACAGGGAACTAAGTAATATTCATGTTTGGCTTTGTGTAAATAAGTTGTCTCTCAACATAGAAAAATCTAATTTCGTTTTATTTCATCCAGTTCAAAAGAAAATAACATGTGCCATCAAATTGAAGATTAATGGTATTGAATTAAAAAGAGTGCAGAGTATGAGGTATCTTGGAGTTTATATTGATTCTCATTTGAATTGGAAATCCCATATTGATTATATCGCAAAAAAACTGAAAAGAAGTATCGGTCTACTCTCTAAAATTCGTTATTTTACCAACCTGAATACCTTGATAAAGTTATATTATGCTCTAATTCACCCTTTTCTCATTTATGGTATAATATCTTGGGGTATGACATATCCTACATCTTTGCGACCTTTATTTATTTTACAGAAAAAGGCTTTGCGTATAATTAACTTTTCTAAATTTGATGCTCATTCCACACCAATATTTAAATCTCTAAAAATAATTAAATTACATGATCTTTTCACTCTACATGCCACGATGTTTATGCATGATTATTATCACGAGGAATTACCACCTATATCTTTAATAATCTTTTCACTCCAGTCAAAGAATTACATACTTATAATACGAGGTTAGCATCAAGGCAGTCGTATTCTTTGCCAAAAACAAGAACTAATTATGGAATTTTTAATATTAGATACCAGGGTGTTAAGATATGGAATTCCCTTGATGAGGCCGATAAAAAATTGTCAGTTTTTAATCTAAAAAGTAAACTTAAGGAAATGTTTTTTTATTCATATTAGCCTATTGCTCTGTTCATTTATGTATCGAATTGTTGAATTGCTTTCATTATTTTTAATTATTGATTTTGCTAAAACATTCTAAATTTTAATAATAATTTCATAATTATATGGTGTTTGGCTTCTCTCTGTGGTTCTGCTAAATTGAGTAAAATATTTATGTAAATTGACTACTTTATATATTAAGCTTCGTTATATCTGTTTGTTAAGCGTTGTGTGTAAAACGTCTGCCTGATTCATCTAGCCCCTTAATGGTTATTTCGGGCAGACGGAACCCATGTCATGTCAAAAAATTAATGTAATGTAAAACTAATGTAATAAGTGGGTTCAAATAAAATGTCTTGTCTTGTCTTGTCTTGTCTTGTCTTGTTTATGCTGAAGAGTAAAGGCGTTTAAATTAGTAATGTTGTGATTGCGCAAAACATAGCTAACCGGGAATTGGTCGGAAAAGTCTCCTTGATTATAGGCTAATATAAAAAGATGTAGCTACCATATAAACTACCACATGATATTTGAAAGAAAGTATGTGAATAAGAGGTTTACAACCAAATATATCTAACATGTAAATTAAGGTATCGGCTTACTTATAAAACGAACTTTAATTATCATAGGATATGTGAGTGTCTTTTTATTGATGCATGTACTGTATGTAGCACTACATGAATGATATTAAGTGAGTGAGCGTGATATGATGACTTTACATTCACAGGATTGTGTGCATTTCATGGAAGTACACATTTATGGAGTACATTTTAAGGAGCATCAAATTTTTCAGTATACCAATATATCGTCATTATTCTGCTTTCTATGCTCTGCAATATTACCTTAATTGCTGTGTGCATGCTGTGTTTATATGCTGTTCAAACTGTTTACAGTTGGTTCATCTTGACCTTTTACTTTAACACATATAGGCCTATCACTATTAAATCCGTTGTGTCTCATCTTTCCCTAATATTCCATAGGTAATTAATATATGAATTATGGAAAATATTAGTGACAATAATTTAACTCAGCAGTGAGCATTTTAGATCTCAGTGCCGTATTTCACAGGCTAGAGGAAATTACCGATACGCTACAATGAACACCTGATTTTTTTATACTGAGCTACACCTGATTTTTTTATACTGAGCCATATACACTATAATTGAGACAACATAGCACTCGAGGCTGGTTCTATGAGGTTCTCTCAAGGCAGGTTCTGTTGTGTCTTTATACAACAAGCCTCTCTATTGAGCGTTTAGTCGCTGGGAATATTAAAATAGAGGCTTGTTTATTCTGTGACACTTGCCTACACAGAAAAATTGAGTCGCCGATTCATGCAGAAGTAGGTTAGTAGCGTTAAAATTAATTTTTACTGCCGCTACCCACTACAGATTACAGGTATTGATATTTTAAATCAATTCGAATGTCGTATTTGGAATTAGAAAGACATAACAACTGCCGATGACAGCAGTTGCTGAGCTCCAGACAGCATTTATTGATGTAGTCCCACATCATTGCATGCTCAAAATCACAATGTGTGATCGCTAAATTCCCACTATATAGTTATCAGCTTGCAACTTCATGTTGAATTTGCTGTTATCTGGCCTTATTGTCTGGTTATTTTCATGCATAATTTTGTGCGAGCCTGAAGCGAGCAAGCGTAGCAGCAGCCTAATGTGTGTGCAGATTTGAATGCGTGCAGGGAGTTTTGAACTAAATTTTATTCAGCGCATGGAATTGTGGTCGTGCGCTCTTGCTATGCAGAACACAAATTTTAAACTCGCTCAATTCGATGTGCTTTTCGATTTTGATAGGCGGACTATATGCTTGTTTCGTAAGGCTACTATACGTTTAATTTTAAGTTTCATAACTATTATATATTGCGTATGTAGTCATGTTTACAGTAGAGACCCTACTTAATTCACAGGCTTAAGTCTCATGCAGATCAGCTGTGTCATGTTATGCAAAAACACCGCCGCAAACCAAAGCGATCTATTTTGTTTTTGCCTACACACATTCTTGTTGATAAATGTGTGTTTGTTAATTCTGGATCAGCTAGTGTTTAGCCTACTTGTCTATTATTGTTTAGCCTACTTGTATATTATTGTTCACTGCTTTATACCATTCTGTGCAGATCTGTTGAAACAGTTGCAGAATATCGTTTAAACGGTTTTTTAATTTTGTTCGAATGGTTTGTTAAAGCCGTTCGTTTAGTCCGTTAAATTTTTTGCCTTTACCCATTCGTATTTTTCACTCAAAATGTCTAAAACGTTTTTATGATCCGTTGAAACTCTTTGACAAAATGTTTACTATCTGTTTGTTATCTTTTTTTTGCCTGTTTTAATGCAAAATCGTTAACGTAACTTTTCCGATGGAAGGTCAGATTTTTACTCAGCAATATTTGGCGATTTGTAAGTTGATATGTTTTGAGTTTTTTGTACTTATACAACGGGTAAATATATTCAAAGTGTTACTAACAGTAAATAAGTCAATGAAAAGCATCATATGCTCTTGCTCAAACTGTTTTAAATTGCCAACAACAAACATGAAACACACAACTAAAAACGAATATAAAACTATGCAGAAAAGCCAAAAAGTTCACACAATGATACACATACACATATCTTATACCAAACAACACAATCACCTGTTTTCTTGGCGTTATTCCGAGTTAGCATGCAAAACTAAAGGTATTTGCATTACTAAGCAAGAAAACACAACACATATTTGATATTTTTGACAAGACTAAAAACTTTTTTGTCCTTGTTTTTCTGGAGATATGCGCCTGCGAAAATATGTATGCACATGACAATTCATTGATCTTGCTGGGCTTTGAACGATTGTGTGATTGTCGTTGTGTGCATTCACATTCTGCACACGCTCTGTGGGGAGATTGAAAGAACTTTGGAATGCCAAATTAAAGACCATAAGCACTGCATAGCAAATATAAAGACACTAGTAACAGTATTGCAGTTCATCATATGGCAACAAGACACAAAATGGATTGGGAAAGAGCCACCTGCTTGGACTACACATCACATTATGGTCAAAAGAATGTTTTTGGAAAGCTGGCATACGAAGAGCGAGAAGGAGAGCATTAATGTTTGCCGCGAAATGCCAGGCAATTGTGCAGCTGACGCAAGATAAACATCAACAGATAAAATGAAAAATAAGGTTTTCGTATAGGAAACCGAAACATCAGACAAAAACTATTTAATTTTGTAATAAACTAGAAGAACAATACAACAAACAAAAAATGAATGAACCTGGATTCAAACGTTTTAAAGAATGAAAACCTGCTTAAAATAGCAAAAAAGACCATATTTATCATGGTAACAATATGTTCTAGAATATTGCAAACTTTTCTACCAAATATTACGGGAACCACCGTAAAACCACCACTAAAGCAAGAACGACATTGTTCAGCGTCACTGACGGCATTGATCTACAAAATGGATTACTCTGCTGAGATAAGAAAATGGATTACTCTGCTGAGATAAGCGAATGTGTCTTCTCCACAGAGCAAGGTGACGAAGCGAAAAAGACGGCAGAATCGGAAGCTACACAAACACCAAATAGCAACCTGGAGGCAATTAATAAGCAGTCGTTGCAAATGAAAACAGCAGGAAAACTGTTAGAACAGTCTATCGAAATCAATACTGCAACTAAAGAAACTAATTGCAAGGAAACCATGACTGAATTCAATCTTGTACCTAACAAGGTTGACGAAATTGAAATACTCCATCGCAGAATTAATAACATCGAAGATAGTTTAAGGCGAGAAATTTCAAATATTGTTGTTGAAATAAACGCCATACCCCAGACATGAATACTCGAGGGACTACACTTCATTGCTTACTAAACAAAAGGAGGATCTCACTAACTATAATACATGTCTCAAACAAGAAAACGATGAGCTTAGAGATCGACTGAATACCATGTCACTGGCCTTGTCTGATCTAAATCAAAAAGTTAAAGATACTGAAAACGAGAAGCTTAGTTTAGTAACGGCCCTAAAAATTTTATATGAAGAACAAAAACGTACCCCGCAAGACAAAGACCAAATTCACACTCATGCAAATCTCGGCAAACAGACCAATAATAATGGCGAGCAAACATACTCAACGGTGGGTAAAAATAAAAGGTCTAAAATGATTCCATTTAGTCCAAAGATAACGAAAGAAGTTATTAACTGAGACTCTACCACACCGGAACAATCTTACAATGTTGACACACGCAATCGCTACGAAGTACTCGGTAATGGAGAAGACCAATATAATACTGCAGAACAACAAAGTGAAACAACTCAAACATCCAGGGAGATGCGACCCAAGACTAGCCGAGAAGTTTCTACTAATGAAGACCAAACCAAAGCGTCATCGGAGACTAGTCCCCATACTTATAATTCGGGCAACAAACCCTGGTGTATAATCAACGTAGCCGTTGCCGGTGACTCAATGTTAAAGTACATAAATCCCTCCAAACTTAGTAAAAGCTTGAAACAAGATGTCCATGTGAAAACCTTCCCTGGAGCAAAGGTTGCAGATATGGAGCACTACGTAAAGCCAACACTAGCACACGCTCCTGAGTACCTAGTTCTGCACGTTGGTACAAAATCTCCTCGCCAAATAGCAACATCGATAACTAAGCTAAATAATAATAGACGGTATATTTAAAATACAATCGCACTAATACAAGTAATAGTGAATTATAGTATTTTTACAAGCATAAAATTATGAAGACTACTGTTACTTTTTAAAACTAGGAATTGGAGTTATATAAAAATGGAAATTTAGATTGTAAACCTAATTGACAACGGTCATGACTTGTTCATAGTACGTGAGCACATAGCTGGGAAGAAACTGTTCTTAAATCTGTCCGTCCTACACTTAAATAGGCTAAGATTACTAGAGTGGCGCAGTTCTCTGCCATGCGACTCAATCCGGGTCGGAGGTAAAATGCGGTTAAGGCGTGATGATGGTATTGTTATTTTATCCAAAACCTTCTTACAAAGAGTATCACGACGATCGGATAGACGGGGAAGAGAGGAGGTAGCAAGCGCGGTTGAATAGGACATGTTTGGATATAAAATCCGTAGAGCACGACGTTGAACCCTCTCGATTTTGTCGGAAAGGTAGGAGGGGATAGATGTATTCCAGGCTGCACAGCAGTATTCTAGCACAGATCTGATAATCGAAATGTAGATAGTCAGGAGGTCGTTGGCAGACACACCGGAGTTACGCAAAACTCGCAAAATATGAAGTCTCTTTGAAGCTTTGGACGTGATAGAGTCAACATGGGCGTTCCATTTTAGATCGTTTTGTAAGGTGACTCCTAGCAGTTTAAAACAGGTGACCTTCTCTAAAGGTTGGGAGTTGATCGACAATGTAGAAGACAGTTCTTGCGGGGGGTTGCAAAGAAAAGAGATGGTAAAGTCCTTGCACTTTTTAGGGTGTAATTTCATGTTATTACTCATCGACCAGGCATTAATAGAGTGGAGATCTTGTTGTATTCCAGGAGGGGAGTTACGATGGATGGCTTGGGAGATGGTAACGTCATCAACAAACATCCAATTACTAGACCTCAACGGAGAATGGCTGGCAAGGTCGTTGATCATTACGAGGAATAGGATAGGGCCAAGCTTGGTACCCTGCGGGACACCGGCAGTAACAGGAGCCCAGTTAGAGGTAAATTGATTAACTTTTACAGACTGCATCCGACCAGACAAAAAGCTACAGATCCACGGGATCAAGGCTCTTCGTACGCCGAGGTTGATAAGTTTCGAAATGACGATGTTGTGGTCGATCCGATCGAATGCTTTACAAAAGTCAAGGAAGCAAACGCGGATGTATTTTCCAGGGTTGTCGAGGTGATTTAGCCAGTTATGAAGGATATCGAGAAGGCAATAAGTAGTGGAAGTGCCTTTTAAACAGCCAAATTGCTGGGGGTCGATTTTATGACCTAAGTCCGAAATGATCCAATTTACCACAAAGTCCTCCAATACTTTGGAGAGACAGGGAGTCAAGGATATAGGTCTAAGGTCACCTTCATCAGAAACAGGCTGAACTTTTGTTATAGGTATTATCTCAGACTTTTTCCAAGCAGTTGGGGTGACTGCTTCGGAAAGAGAAACGTTAAAAACCCGTGCAACTGGTTTCGAGAGCTCGAAAGAAAATTCCTTTAGAATACGTGCGGGGATGTGATCAGGGCCACTTGCTTTGTAGGGGTAAGCTCGGACATGAAATGAATGCGAATATGCCAAATACGAAATTAATCTTATCTGAAGTAATAGTTAGAAATGATGACCCTCAGCTCATGATAAAAGTCAAAGAAGTCAATTCAAAATTATCACAGGTATGTCTAAGCAATAGATGGGATTTGCTAACTCATGGAAACATTTTAGTCAAACACTTAAACCCATATGGTGTCCACCTGAACAAACCAGGAACTGCAATCTTAGCTAAGAATCTTAGTGACTTTCTAAAACTTAAATATTGACTGCCTGAGTATATGAGTTCCACAGTAGATTGCACGAATAAGGACAATATTGAACTATCTTCAGAAAAGTCTCGATGCAATTCCACCACTCAAAATAATCTTTTTTTAAATCCTGAAAATCGAAATGTCAGAGAAACGTGTCATGACCTATTATCACAAACTAGTGAGAATACGTTTTCAAAACTAAAAGGCTTTAGGGTGGGCCACTTGAATATTGTAAGCTTAACCAAACATATTGAGGAGCTTAGGATCTTACTACACAAACAACCTTTTGATATTATAACCTTAAATGAAACCAGACTAGACGACACTATTAATAGCGAAGAGGTTGAGGTCGCAGGCTATGAATTAATAAGATCGGATAGAAATCGAAATGGTGGGGGTGTAGCTATATACTTAAGAGATAATATACCATATGTAGAGCGATCGGAATTACTCACTGACCATGTTGAAGCAGTTTGTATAGAAATTAGGAAACAAAAGACTAAACCATTCCTTGTTTCAACTTGGCACCGGCCACCAAATTCTGATACTATACTATTTGACAGATTTGAAAGCTTTTTACAAAAAGCAGATGATACGGGACAAGATCTGATCATAACCGGTGATTTCAACTGTAATATATCAGCTACTTATGACAGCCCTCATACCTCAAAAATTAAGGACTTAATTGATATATACCAACTACAACAACACATTAAAGATCCGACTGGAGTAACTACAACCAGTAAAACCTTAATCGATTTAATACTCACGAAAATTGAGGATACAAAAACCATTGACGCAGGAGTCATCCATATTGGGATTAGCGATCATAGCCTTGTCTATATTTGCCGAAAAGTGAGCATCCCAAAGGGAAAGCCCAAAATAATAGAGACAAGGCAATTTAAACATTTCAATGAAGTCCGATTTCAAGATGATTTAAAGCAAGCACTAAACACACACTTCCATTATGTATATACAGACCCAAATTTAGCTTGGCAAATTTGGAAAGAAGTATTTTTAAATATTTCCGAAAAACACGCGCCAACTAGACGTAAAAAGGTCAAAAGTGAGTATAAACCTTGGCTAACAAACGAAATTAAAGAATTGTGCTACCGTAGGGATTACCTAAAAAAGAAAGCAATTAATCTGAATTCCCCTTATTATCACGAAGCATACAAGAGATGCAAAAACAAAGTTACTAGACTGATAGAGGAAACTAAAACTAATTACTACAATACTAAATTTGCAAACTCTAAAAATAGTGCTGACAGCTGGAAAACAATTAACGAATTATTAAACAAAAAGTCCAAAACAACGACTCTCAATGCGATATCTGTGAATAATGAGGTTGTTACAGGAGATAAAAACGTTGCTAATGAATTCAACAAATATTTTGCTACTATTGGACCAAACTTAGCTGAAAACATCTCTACAACTGACGTTGACCCGTTGAAATACGTGACAGTAGGGACAGCTGATTTTAACTTCAAAAGTATTACAAAAGCAAATGTGAAAAGCATATTAAAGAAATCGAAAGCTACCAAATCAACAGGCACTGATAATATTTCAATTAAGCTTCTAAAATTAGCAGGTGACTCTATCACAGAACCATTAACATTCATTTTTAATTTGTCTTTATTTACTGGTATTTTCCCTGATGACATGAAATTTGCAAAAGTTACGCCAATCTTTAAAACCGGAAGTAAACTAGATTGCGGAAATTACAGACCAATCTCAGTTCTTTCGGCAGTTCCCAAGATATTCGAAAAGATTGTTTATGAACAACTCACGAAATTCTTAGACGACAATAACATTATTTCTAAACACCAGTCTGGCTTTCGGCCACTGCATTTAACCGAAATGACACTGCTTCAGTCAACTGACGAATGGCTTTTTAATATGGATAAGGGCTTAATTAATGGAGTTTTGTTTCTGGATTTAAAAAAGGCCTTCGACACAGTCGACCATAAAATTCTTCTTTTAAAACTTAAACGCTATGGAGTAGGTGGGATTGCATTCCAATGGTTTCAATCCTATCTTCAACAGCGACAACAAATCTGTAAAATTGCAGGCTCTTCATCTAATACCCAAACGCTACATTGTGGTGTCCCTCAAGGATCAAATCTTGGACCATTACTGTTCTTAATTTATATCAATGACCTACCCAATTGCCTTGAAACAACGCATGCCTCGATGTTTGCGGATGACACAAACTTGGCATGTGAAGGTGTTTCATCAGAACAAATTGAGCAAAAACTATTGAAATGGAAAGATCATATCGATGCACAATGTAAGAAAATTTCTAAAAATATAGCCCTCCTAAGGAGGGCGAAAAACTTTACAACAGAACAAACACTTTTGACAATGTATAACGCGCTAATTTTACCCCATTTAACTTATTGTTCCAATGTATGGCATGATGGAAATAATACAAATATGAACAAGCTTTGTTAAACTGCAAAAAAGAGCAGCTCGTGTGATAACAGGTTCTAATTATGAGATACATTCCTCTGACATTTTTAAGAAACTTAATTGGGAACCACTAGAAACCACTCTGAAAAAACGCGAACTTGTGATGTCTTTTAAAGCGATTAGAAGTTTCGCACCAGAGTATTTATCTAACCTTTTCACCGCTACTTCTAACAATGATTATAGCCTTCGAAGTAATAACAGAAATCTCTGTTTAAAAAAACCTAAGACGAATTTTATGAAAAATAGTTTCTCTTATCGTGGATCATCATCATGGAATAAACTACCTATGCAAATAAGGGATAACTACAATCAACTCTCTATTGACTCATTCAAAAGTACTATTAATGGATATTTCAAGTCATAGATTGTTGAGTGTTTGCATGATTTATGTCACTATTATAGATATATGATTTAAAACAATTATTGCATGCTATTTTGTTATTACGATATTAATTAGTTTTTAGTCTGTAGATAGTATACTTTTGTAAATAGATGCACGGCCCTATGAAAACCAGGAAACTGATAGGTTACCGTGTTTAAATAAATTTAAATAATAATAATAATAATAAAATAATAAATAATAGTATTTTAATAAAATATAAAACAACAGTAACTCCGAAAATAAACATTTTAATATAATTCTAGCTTTCGACTAAGATTCAGTCATCAGGAATGATGCTAGGTTACATTATACTAAAAACAGGGGTGGAAAAAAAAATTTTCTTTCTGGGAACCTGGGTCAAAGGCTAGAAATTTTCTGTAAAATTTGTAATGTTACAATTACAAAAATAACAAAACAAATGCATAATTATTGTATTATTTGTACTTTAGTAATAATGGGCTTTAGGCTGGTTTTCGTATGCTTGTACATCACAATAGTTGTCTATTATATACCACAGTTATGAGTTATGACCAACTAGTAAGGATCTTGATTTTTTCTGTGTTGGTCTTATGTAATAAGGTGAATATGATGTTTGTGATATTATTTTGAGTGTATATCCACACCACGCAAACTTGAAAAATATGCCTGGCCATGGTGGGAATCAAACTTATATGACCTTTGGAATACTAGATTACATTGATGTCGAAGGAACTAAACTCAGTTCCGAAATATCACATATTCGAACCGAGCTGCTCGCGTAGCTCAGCTGGCAGAGCATTGGGCTAGTATTCCAAAGGTCGTAGGTTCGATTCCCACCGTGGCCAGGCATATTTTTCAAGCTTGCCCGGTGTGGATACATACTCAGAATAACATCACAAGCATCATAGGTTGGATCTAACGCTTAACTAAGTGTCCTATCATCTTATTTATTCCATCACTTTTATTTGTTTACTATTTAATTTGCATTTTATTGGAGACTTTGCAGAGCATATATTTACCATTTTACCAGTCATTGTGATGACAGGGGTGGGTAAAAGAATTAATTTCTGTCAAATATTTAAAAGCTGCTGATGTTAGCGTGTACAGTGTAAATAAAGTAGAATAGTTGTAACTTGTAAGTTGAGTAAACAGGGTTATCTCAAAATGTTGAAATATTTTCTGGAAAATTTTCTGCAAAACTCTCAACTCAAAAAAATTTCTGGGAACTAGGTTCCCAGGTTAAGATTCCTTTTTCCACCCCTTATAACATAAATATAGCACGTGGAAGTGCCATAGTGCATAAAATGTGCATTGCCACACTGCTGTCGTAATAAATGTTCGATAATCGATACATCTTTATTTATTCCTAAAATGACGTCTTTTATTACAGCATGTCGGGGATTGCTTGACCCAAAACGAAAAAGTCACGTTGTAGATTGTAATGTTTTGTGGTTTTATTTATACGAAAAACCCCAAAATCTCTCACTATACTCGCTCTCGTTGCCTCTCAAAATCGCCTTGTTTACATGTTCACTGTAAGGTGTTTTCCCGGAATCTTACCGGAAGTGATTCGCACATGAACTGTTGATGATCTTTAAAATTAGTTATTAAGCAAATATAAACTATTAACTAAAGCTTATAAACTATGTCCGATCTCAACACATCTAGTGATAGTGTGATAGAGTTCAGATGAAGGTACTGAATGTATTAAGACATCTGGTCGCTGTTGTTTACCGCTTATTATTTATAAAATTATAAAAGTTATCGAATAAATACAACACAATTTACATATTTCATACTAAGCCAACAAGATGGGATAGCCTTCAACCACTTATACCTTTGGCTTTCCATCTTGAACAAACGTTTGTTACGACATTCGACACTGCTGTCGAAATGCACTTCCACGTGCCATATTTATGTTATAACTTATAATTATTAGTGGTTTTAGCGGGAAAATTGCTCATTTCCCACAAAAATTAACGAATAATTAAAGAAATATTTTAAAAACACAGACACTGAACATACATCAATTTAAATTGTTTAAGAAGGATAACTTATAGGCTATGTAACGTTTACAGCATGCAAAAGTAGCCTGCATGAACTTCTGGCACGTTGACGTTGACAAAATAGAATAATAGATATGTCTGGAATTCAGGTTGCTTAATTTCAAAGTGCAGCAATCAAAGGATAACAAAATGTAGAAAATGACTATTTTTGTAACTTTTAATAGCAAAGAGGAGCTCCGGAAATATATATTAATAATTACTTGCAATTTGTTAGTTGAACGGCCGACATACTGATACATTTAAATTATAGTTTAGGTCCGTTATATTAGTGCTGAAAGTAAAGATCAGTATTTGACGTCTAAAAGTCGTCTAGAATTTATATGGTCGTGATGCGTTTTTATCGCTTTAAGTTACTGTACGTTCATTTCAAGTGAAACGTAGATAAATTTAATTTTTGGTGAATTTTTAAATAATCAATATGCGATTTGGCGATTGTTATGTAATGTCATTTTTGATATTTGTAGTACAAATGTCGAGGGCTCTAAAATTTGATTTTTTCAGTAGCCCAAAAATTTTATTACAGTTTCTCAAAAGGAAACGTTGTTGTTTAACTCATTAAGCGGCAATGCGCCCGAATGCGCCCTGAGATTGGCAAGGGGGTAAGTGGCAATGTGCCCGAATACGCCCTAACATGACACCTTCACTTGCGGGCATGATATTTGAGCACGTGTTTATCGGGTTGCCTAGCAACGGATACGAAAATAGAACGTGAAATTCGAGCTTCTCAACGGTGTATCATGCAAGAAAATCTGCCAAAAACTCGCAAAGTTTTTCAAGTTTAAAACCTTAGTTTTTCAAAAATAATGAACTATGGCGATACTGTTGCAAAGAAGAATTTTACAGCAAGTTTTAAAAGCGAAGAAAGAAGAGGTTTTTGGATGATATACAACGAAAATTTGGCATGAAAGGAAAGCGAATGTATTGACGTTTTGGGCCAAGTTCTTCTGTGAACCTTGCGCGAGATTTTCAGCCAAAAAGATGAGGATTTCTCCAAACTTTATTGAAAATAGAAGTCGGAAATCACAAGAAAGATGAATACGGAACTCAAGTGAGCAGATGCGATATTTTTAAGGGTATTTTTGAGTAGAAATATGCGATCAAACACTCACAAAATTCGACCGCATTAAAGTTGGTTGAATCTAGTTTAAAGTTATCTTTTTAGACAAACTGTTTATGCAAATTTGAGCACAATTTCAACTGTTTTCGTAACCCCATTGTTGGTCTTCTTGTTCAAGTTGCTATTTTAGCTAAAGTATGTTTCAAACGACACCAGATTAAATTACTGTGTGCGTACGTGCCCTTTTTGGCAAGAATACTTCGAGTATTAAATTACACTAAGTAAGTAGGATACTCCAAAATCACTGTTATATCTATTTTCATCAATTTAGTCTTAAAACAACAACTCGTTTCAGACATATTGTGGTTTAAAATGAGTGTATTGAATTAGTGCGCTTGCTTGCCGTGTGCGAATTTTCAAAAAGTCTGCACTTGAGTTCTAAAGCTTTTAAAACGCTTTTTCTATTGGGTTTTATATCCCCATAAAACTTTAAATCGATAAAGCAGATAATAATGTTGATGCAACCTCATTTTATAGTAACTACACGTTGAATCAGAAGGAAAAGTTATCAAAAATAGGTCACGACGGTTGCTTGCAAAATGCCACTTCTCTCTGAAATGGCTTCCTATGAAATCGCTTCACTAGAATATTTTTAATAATGTCTATGGGAAACTTTGTTATTTTCTGAACTAAAAGTATATGGTTTTGAGGTGTTTATTTTATAAGATAGCACGCGCGACAAAATGGCACTAATGTGGTTTCTCATGTCTGACAAACAACCAAAGATGAAAGTCCTTATATCATCCTTTTATAGCTATGTTGAATACCTGAATATTAGGTTATCTTTTTCATTTGAGCATACAGATAACATTTCTACACAATTAGTCCTTATGAAAGCCTATTTCAAACTAAAAAAAGCGATTGTTTTTTAGAGCCAGACTTAAAAAAAAGATGCGTGTCTGACATTTTATAGCAGCCTACATTGGCGCACAAAATAATTTTGGCTAAAAACCGTTTCATTCCAAACAGAAATATGAGAAAATTGAGCTAAAAGACTTACCCGATGTATGTTTAAAATGTTTTTCTCTTTATGGTTGTTCTTCAGTGCTTCGAGTAGAGAGGTTATTAGCTGTCATTGTCTGTGTTAAAAACACCTCAGAAAATTCCTATTTTCTCACCTTCCCATCCTTGGTTTATATTGAAAATAAATAAATTCTAGTACCATATGTCCTTTTAAATATATTTGAGGTAATTAAAAACTCCAAAGATGAACAAGGACTGTGTTTTGAATCAGTGAAAGATTCCGGCAATTCTAAAACCGAGAATATTTTGATGGTTGGAAGTCAAATGTTGCACCAATTTCGTCTTTCATCTTATTTTAACATATCGGTGAAACAAAAGTTCCTACCCTTTTCTAACTGTCGAGTAACTTTCTCAAACTTGAAAAAGGTCACCCTTTTGCTCGTAAAAGGGTAGACTTTTTCGATATTTCAGAGTAAATACGATTCTTTGATCCTTGGTCCTTAACCCTCTGCCATGTGGTCTGGTTGTCGTTGCAAATGTAGCACAGCGAAGTCTCGGTCTTCAACGTCCCCGATTCACGACACCAAATGCTACCAAACCTAAGAAGATCGGATGGAAGAAAGCTTTCACGCTTATTGATGTAGACCGCATGGGTGACACCACCGAAAAATACCAGATTAACCTTCAACTAAGTGAGGATACTGCAAGCGTGAATGGCATCCAAGATTTACTAAGGGGGCAGCTTGGTTATAATGTTTCTTTATTTGATTCTAAATATCGGCCAGTTATGCCTGGTGAATCCACAAAAGGTACTATTATTAAAACTAAATAAATATAAATTTATGCGGATGTGCGGTCATATATGCATGGCTCAAAAATATTGCTTGAAAAATTTCGGTATGGACAATCTGGACATGGTTCGAATAAACTGTCTAATATTCCATTTGCTACAATGTGGTGGCTATAGAATATCATCAGACAAAACCTCATTTGTGGGTTTTCAATGAAGCATAATTGAATTGCCAAAATATAGTTTGTCCGATTTTTTGTGTTTAATTTCGTTACTAGCTATATGTATAATATGTTGCAAAAATATTAAATAATTGAAATGCAACTGTAACGCCAAAACAAAATCATTTATTATATTTATATAACATTATGTCTGCACACATAAGCAAAACGACAAGAAAAATTAATATTGACATTATTTATATATTATTATTGAACATTATTCATTAATATAGTAATTTGATTGATAGCTATTTACATGTAAACGAGTAGTTCATATTACCATTTGCATTCAAGCATTACCCCACGCCGCGAAAACAAGTTGTTTACGAGTTTTGTAGCGAGCGTTTTGATCGGAAAACTTTACGTTTTACGTGCAAAACAATTATGACAGGGGCTGTAACTTTGCTTTGCGTTTTTGCACTTCCGGATTGAGACATCACAGCCAGTACAAAGTTATTTACATTATTTTAAATATTCTGGAGGAAACACAGTGAAGGTTAGTTTTTATAGTGAATACTATTTAGCCTACTGTTGATTTGAAGCTCGATTTTGGCAAAATCAATGGGCAATGGCGGATTTTCAAGAAAATCATTATTTTCAAAATAGGCCGTTCAATTTTACTAAGTTTTCTGTTTTCGTTCCAACTGTGTCTTTAAAGGTTTATAACTCTAACTTATAACTATATATTTTGAAAGCTTCAAATGTGTGTGTTTACATGCGCAGCAAGGCGAGATTTTGAAAATGTAATAGATATTTTTGAATTTCTGTGGCATAACAACAGTTTGTAGCGAACATTTTCTCAGCGAATTTTCTACTAACCTGAATATAAATCCAACTAAAATGTAGGCATTTCACAAGCTTTCAAACCATCCGCGTTGGGGGTGTATGTCGTTAAATTTCGAATTAATATAAACGGTTGAACCTCGTGCCTAAAACCAGACATTATATTGTCCGACTAGAATGTGTATTCCGCGGCAATTTTTACACCCTCGTTTAGGCAACAAATTCTCGCTCAATATTCTAGGTACAATATTATATAGCTCGTACCAAAATGTAGCTGAATTCACCAGCTATCTGACAATATACGTAAAATTATTGTTATAAACCTTTAAAGACACAGTTGGAATGAAAAGTTAGTAAAATTGAAATGGCCTATTTTGAAAATGATGCAGATTTTCTTGAAAATCCGCCATTGTCCATTGATTTTGCGTCCTCGTTTCACCGACACCATATATCAAAATCGAGCTTCAAATCAACAGTAGGCTAAATAGTATTCACTATAAAAACTAACCTTCACTGTGTTTCCTCCAGAATATTTAACTTTGTACTGGCTGTAATGTCTCAATCCGGAAGTGCAAAAACGCAAAGCAAAGTTACGCCCCCTGTCATAATTGTTTTGCGCGTAAAACGTAAAGTTTTCCGATCAAAACGCTCGCTACAAAACTTGTAAACAACTTGTTTTCGCGGCGTGGGGTAACGCTTGAATGCAAATGGTAATAATTGCTCATAGTCATAGACATAGTTCTTTATACTTCATAAACAAAAACTGACTTGCAGAAATAAAGTTTCAAGGACAAGGTAAGTCAAGCTGATTATTATAATTATTTAATATAGTCACTCAGTCAACTAGCACTCATTGAAGCTATATAGGTTATAGCTAAAATTAGTATAAACAATTAACGCCTTATAAAATGAACAAAATTATACGCGATGCCATGCAAAGGCTATTATAAAAATAATAAATATATATTTTAAATTCTGGCGTTAAAAAGTCTAGTTGACAGGGCCAGGGACTAAATAGGAAAATGGCAGCGCCAGTAGTTACAATATATTAAATTTAATACGTCTAAAGGTTCAACTATAAGCATTCATTTTTGAGTCAAAAGACAAAAATGTACAGCTATAAATAAAGCTTGAAACGTTCCCTCTGCCAAGGAAGCCAGTAAAATTAATGCAACAAAGAATTATATTCAATATTGTGTATCCTGTTGTCTGCCTTTAAAGCCTTTGCCTTTGGTGGCGATATAAACACAACTTTATTCTTTAAACATGTGTCATGTATGATTGTATCTGTCCGGGTCTCTAAGGCTTTTAAAGGCAGCGGTTCGGGAAGACTGCCGATAATTATCGCGTTTGTTGCACAGTTGATTGTCACGTTTCTAAGAATGTCTATTTTTTAAATTCAATGTGGAAAATTATTTTTTTAATAATTATCATAATTATTCCACTCTAATGTGTACGAGAAACATGACTAAAAAGCGAGTAAAACCACAGTAAATTTTGGAATTCAACGAATATTTTGTAAGCCTTCCAAGAATGGCATTTATAACAACCAAACGCCCTCGCAACGTCAACAGCATGCCTAGAAACGTCATCACGTAATTAACTCAATAATTATGCACATTAAGGTGGTCCTATATGAAAAAAATAATTTTCGGTTCTTTTTTATAATTCTAAAATCTTTCTGGACCATGTTGTTCAAATGGTTTGTCAAACATAAAAAAAAATTTTTACGTTCACTTTGTTTCCATGGTTACCGAAATATTCTACTTCTCATAGGGAAAATTGGGCATTTTTATAAACAGGATAACTAAACATATAATTATGATAGAAACAGGGGATATCGTTTAGTTTGTAGTTTTGAACAATGACTTGGTGCTGAACTAGAATCTTTTCTCTAGTACACAAGGTTCGAACGTGATTGCAGTTTACTGGTTCAAGTATAAATTTTACGCACTTTTTCATTGATTAAAGTGACAATTACTATATCAAAAATTTTCAGAAGTTAGTACTTTTAGTTCATCTCCGAAGTACGGTCCTGTAGTATAATATTCTTTATGAAATCCTGCATGGAAGTTCGGAAATAGGATATTTTGCCAAACTGTATTAAACTGCATGAAAGTTGAAATACGAAGTCAACATAATATGACAAACTTCAGTTATACGCTGAAAATATTTTCGACGTCGATCTTTTTACTTGGCCGTTTCCAACATTAGTTAATGTGTGTCAAGGTCAAGAAGCATGAAGGTCATTCAAGGTTAACGCGAGTAAGGGCCGTCAACACGCAAAATAAACGTCAAGGTCACACATGCCTTTGCACACATATTCCCAATGTCTTTAGGAACAATTTACCTAATTATTATTTTTCTCGAAAATATAAGTATTTTTTGTAGTGGACCACCTTGAGGTGGCTCCCTGGGTTTTTGCATTATAATGCATGACTTTAGCACTCAAAACCTTCCCGTTTCTTCATCTTGCATGCTATAAAGAGGAAATTCGCAGGAAACATTGAGAATGCTTTCCTCAAGATGCTATGTTTTTTTCAAATTATAAAAAAAAAACGTATCGATAACTTTTTTTAAAAATGAACGAATAAAACCATTAGACCAGTATTTCTTTCTATGCAAAATTTAAAAATAATTTACCGAAGGAAATTCAAAAAATTACAGAAAGAAGACAAAAAGTAGCCTTTACTCTGAATAAGGTGTTGCCATGGTAACTAACTATCAACACAAGTTTATTGATTCAGCATCTTCAGGAAAGCATTCTCAATATTTCCTGCAAATTTCATCTTTATAACTTGCAAGATAAAGAAACGGGAGGGTTTTGAGTGCTGAAGTGCATTATAATGCAAAAATCCTAGGGAGCCACCTTAAACATTGTTTTCTATTAATACTCGAAGCGTAATAATCGTCAGCAAGAAACGTTTGACCCTAAAAGGAGTTTCTTCGAAGAAAAAGGAATTTAGGAAATCTGAGGAATTTTTGAGAAATCAGTTTTGAGAATTCCAACAGAATGGCTTTGCATGCCTTGGATTATACTACTTTTCGTTGCTCATAAGCAATATATCTGCATGCAAAAGTGCAAAACAGACTTATCAGGAGAATGTGATCAAGGTGATAAATCTATAATGAATTGAACATAATGGGCGGCCAGCAGCCTGAGTTTTTAGGCGGAAATCAGGCTGCGAGCAAGCAACCGCGTGTTAGTACTGATGAATATTTGTAGAACAGTGTTATCAGACAGACTCAGTTTATATATTTTTTTTATTTGAATACTGCAGGTTCCCAGTTTTGGAGGAGCAACAGAAAAATTGTCGTGGTGAGCGCTACACAGGCGGGTAACATAAAAAGAAAATCCAGCTCAAAGAAAAAAAGACCCCATGAGATCATGGAACACCTTAAACAGCTAATTGCTGACACACCAGAAGATGAAGAAGATAATATCGATGATCCTGACAGTCCTTTATTTGCATCGATGTTTCCCATTCCCTGAAACCGTCTTAATTTACCGCAACCAACTACCTCGATTAATGAAGCAGCTGTCAAATTGGTTAGTAGTATTTTCAAATGCTCAATATGCCTAAGCGTAGCAACGCTACCAGCTGCTGCATGTTCTAGCTGCTATTCTGTGATTGGATGTATTCCTTGCATCGAACAGTGGTACGAATGATAATCGCGGTGATAATCGCGTTAAATGCCCGCTGTGTCGAACCAACAAAGAATACCATATCATTCCACTCTTGCGTGAAGTTGCGTTATTGCTACAGCATCCAATACAAGATTTGCAAGAAAGTCATGCAAGCCAATTAAGCCGTATCCAAACCAGTGTTCATAGCAATACGGAGTCTTTGGATACCATTCCATACGGCGAAAGCGATGGTGTGGTAAGAGACGACTATTATTATCAACATTTTTTTCATAGCCAAATTGTATAGCCTCATTTATATATATGTGGAACCAACAAGGAACTAGTAAAATTATGTTCTTTTAATGATTAAGTGGAATAGCTAATTCTGTAGTTGTGTTAAAAAATAGCAATTTGAAGAAGTGATCCATCTCCACTAATGACGTTATTGTAAACACCAGTGAATGATCCAATCATCTGAGAAAAGTGCGCTTCTCGCCTGTTTTTAAGGTTTTGATGAGCTGCTAACGGGTCAATTCCAAAGGAACATTCTTGGGTAATCGTTCCTCCGGCATCAGTGTACATCTGCACTGCTTCATCAACATTCGGTATTAATGTCACGTCAACAGAGCGAACCCTAGATGTTCTTTCAGCTACTACATTAGGAATTTTATAGTTTCGACCTAGAACAATAATTAAACGATTAGTACTCACACACGGGACACTTGTATTTCACACCGACATGATTAAGCAATATTATTGGATGAGGTTTTTGTGATATACATTTAAAAAGTAGAATTCCAAATTTCCCGAGTTTTACACTCTAAATAGGAAGTCACCCATAGTACTAGTGGTGGTGGTGGTCGTGGTGGTAGTAGTACATTTATTTAATCACAATTAACTAATTGCAGAATAGCTGATGGGGTCATAAAACTATCTGTCTACGTCACGAGTGGGGTTACGCAAATTTTTAATATTTACAGCCAGTGGTCAACAGTAGCCCAAACCTTTGTCGCTGGTTGCTAAATCAAACTTAGAAATGATCAAACACAATTCAAACAATTTTAGACTTAAAAGTTTCTTTTATATATAAGGCTAAGAATCACTATTTCAAATCAGTCGAAATTGTTGGAGATTATCAAACTAGTTTAATATTAACCTACTAATTAGTATACAAACCTGAACGTGTCGATCAATCAAAACGCATGCGGTTGCATTTTTGAGGACATTGTTGTTGTGAAAAAAGCGAGCAAGGTTTCTGAGCGAGATTGTGAAATAAAACGGTTTAAAACTATAATTTGTGAGTGTCGTGGATATGTAGGAGGCCATTCACGACAGAAATATTTTCAAAATCAAGCAAGATACGAAGAGTTGTTAAAAAGTCTTCATTAAAGGACATTGGCAACGAAAATGTTTATTGCTTGATTTGAAAGAGCATGAAAAATAAGCCAATTGGCCATTTACTATTCTATCTCATCTAGTTGCAAAGTTATACGCAAAAATAAAAATTGCTGATTCAGCACAACTTGTGACGTCATTGGATGGGTAAGTATGTTTATTGAATACATAACTGAAGCATAGCTCAGTTATTACGAGCTCAAATCAAATGAAATTTCCCTCAAAGATAGCACATTATGAGACGCATTGAAAAACACTTCTAATTTTGTTGTCAATGTAACACTGTCGTTCCCAAGTCCCTTATATGAATTTTTTATAACTAGTTACATTTATCTATGTGGGCGTCATTTTCGAATTATTATCATTCAAGTAAACTTCTGTCATGCATAGTTATAGTACACACACTTCTGATATTATGTTATCCTAATCAGTACCAAGAGTAAAGCTGTTTTATAAAATTCGTGCAAGGGGCCTGGGAACGACAGTGTTACCTTGGCAACAAAACTTGAAGTGTTTTTCAATGTGTCTCATCATGTACTATTTGTATGCAAAATTTCATTTGACTTCAGCTCATAATAACTGAGCTATGCTTCAGTTTAGTATTCAATAAACATACTTACCCATCCAATGACGTCACACGTTGTGCTGTATTTTGAAAATTTTTGAACAGTATAAACGGCCAATCGGCTTATTTTTTCATGCTCTTTCAAATAAAGCAATAAGTTGCCAATGTACTTTAATTATTCTGAAAGTTCAAATTTAGTAAAGCAACAAACCTTCTATGGGATGAGCATTCCAAGCTTCAATAACTCTTTGGATCCCAATTTGAACAGTGTTAATTACAATGAAGGAAACACAAAATTGCGACACCGGATCATATCTATTAATGAGTTGATTTTCCATCCTAACAAGTACCTCTTTTATTGGGTAAATCACTCACTGATTTATTTCTGGCCACTTCCTCTCAGCTGGAAGGTTCTATATAATAATAACAAGAATTTGCAGATCCGTCTAATCACTATAGTCTAATCATAATACCTCACTTATGGAGTGCTGAACAATGGCGTCAACTTCAACGTCATTTAGTTTCTTTATTTCATTTCTTGAGCAAAACAGGCGGATATTTCTAACGGAAAAACCTCGTCTCACGTCGGGAAAATTCTGTTGTAACAACTCACTTATTTGTTGATATGTATAATTCTTCTGGACACAATCTTTTATAACTTCAATATTTTCTTCCAAGTAAGCCGCCATTTTGTTAGAAATACGTTCCTTACAATGCACAATGATGAAAAAGGGTACCCTTTTTCGTCTGTTTGCGACGAGTTGTTTTGACAGAAATAGATACCCATTTTCGTCTTTTATGAAATTACCGAATTTTGCAAAAAGGTTGCTATTTTTCGTGTTGCTGCGCCAAACTCTGTTGCTCAAAACTGGTACCCTTTTTCGTTCTTTACAAAAAAATCGCTATTTCTAAAAAAGGATACCCTTTTTCGTGTGTCTGTACAAAAACTAACTTGTACAAAAAGGGTTTGCTTATTTGTCACATCATTTTTTAGTCACAACTTTACCAGACACGAAAAGTTGGTCAAATCAAAGAATCGTATTTACTCTGAAATATCGAAAAAGTCTACCCTTTTACGAGCAAAAGGGTGACCTTTTTCAAGTTTGAGAAAGTTACTCGACAGTTAGAAAAGGGTAGGAACTTTTGTTTCACCGATATGTTAAAATAAGATGAAAGACAAAATTGGTGCAACATTTGACTTCCAACTATCAAAATATTCTCGGTTTTAGAATTGCCAGAATCTTTCACTGATTGTTTTGGCTTGCACATTTTGTTGAATTTGAACACTTAGTTACTGTTCTAAATTTCATGTTGTAAATATCTTGCCCAAAAAAAACAAAGGAGTATTTTTTATAATTTTTTATCGTTTTCTAATTCATATCCCAAAAGATGAAAATTGGTTATAATATAGATATGTACTAATTGAGTAAATGAATTTTTTTTGGTTTTTATATAAATTTATGGAGATATTGCCCCTTTAGGTGATGAGTGACATGAAAATCAAAGTGTCACTGCTTTACAAATAAAAATTCTCATTGAAAAAACTAATGATATATATAGGTATGCAAAGTCATTTCAACTAAATTTGGTCAATCATATCACTAATGTTTGGTTGAAAAGATCAGATTTTTTTATGCAACTGTTTCTGAGATATTGCCATTTTGGTGAAAGCTCTTGAATTCGATCACAAATTCGCCATATTGCTTGCGCCTTAGGCGGGTAGAAACATTGTAACAGCTTGCCACTTAATGAGTTAATCTTGTTAAACCCTTATTGCCAAGGCATGTAGCAATATGCATTTTTCGGTGTTGAAATAAAGTAATATTTTGATATGTGAAAAATCACTCAAGTTTAAAACTTCCTAGAATATCAGAATTGCAGTCAGTGTCTGAATATAAAATGGAAAATTATCGAGAAATGTCTGTTATTTCATAATATTATTGTAGTTATTGAAATACTTACACCTTTGGACGATTTTTACAGATGACCGCTCTTAATACTTTAGCAATGCCTGTACAGGTCATGCCGATAAAGTTGTTAATAATAATATAAATAAACTTTAAAATATCATAAAAGTACTAACCTTTCCACCACTTTTCTCGCCAACTTTTCTGACAAAAACTGTTGCCATTTTTCATGTCAGTTCGAACTTCGAAACTTCAAATTTTCAAACTGGGCAGCGCGTCCATATTGAGGAAATTTCCTTTTCAAAGGAAATTTTTGCTTCATGAAGGCGTTAAGGAAATTTCAAATTAAAGGGAGTTTAGGAAGAAATAGAAAATTTGAAGGATTTTATGTTTTTAACCACATTTTCTGCAACGATTTTCGAAATTCTACATAAAAATGGAAGAAAATCTCAATAAAGTTAATTCAATAAAGGAAATTTCTTATTAAAGTTAGTTTAATAAAGGAAATTTCAATTTTTTTCTAAATTAGGAAAAATAAGGATTTTGTAATTTTTGAAAGTGGAAGCATGGAACTGGAGGGAAATAGGAAACATGGTAATAGGTAATAGGAAACACAGTAATAGGTAATAGGAAACACGGTAATAGAAAATAGGAAACACGGTAATAGGAAATACGGTAATAGGTAATAGGAAACACGGTAATAGGTAATAGGAAACACGGCAATAGGAAATACGGTAATAGGTAATAGGAAATAGAAAACACGGTAATAAGAAACACAGTAATAGGAAACACGGTAATAGGTAATAGGAAATAGAAAACACGGTAATAAGAAACGTGTAGTATTTGGGCCCACAGTAATTGGCTTTTCAGGCTGTTGTGGTTACCCAGCCATCAGTTTAGTGTGTTTGTACTTGTGTTTGTGTTTGCGTTGTGTGGGTGCGTATGTGTTTATGTCTATATCACACAATGATGGAAAAGCAATTAAATTAAATTAAATTAAATTAAACACGGTAATAGGAAATAGGGAACACGGCAATAAGAAACACGGTAATAGGTAATAGGAAATAGCCCGCCAGGGAACACAGCAATAGGAAGCACGGTAATAGGAAATAGCCTGCCAGGGAACACAGCAATAGGAAACACAGTAAAAGGTAATACGAAATAGGAAACACGGTAATAGGAAATAAGAAACACGGTAATAAGAAACACGGTAATAGGTAATAGGAAATAGGGAACACAGCAATAAGAAACATGGTAATAGGTAATAGGAAATAGCCTAGCTGCCAAGGAACACAGCAATAGGAAACACAGTAATAGGTAATAGGAAACACGGTAATAGGAAATAGCAAAAAAAAGCAGTAGCTTTTGCAACCCACTTTTTCAACATGGAAATAGGCAATAGCAATTACACTTCTGGGCTTCCGTAAGTTGTAACATACTAAATCTCATGAACATTTGGATCACTGAACAGTAGGATCCCGATTGAATCTCGTAAGAAAACTAAAGATTGTGATTGAATCTTGATCTTGTAAGAAAACTTTAAGATCCTGATTGAATCTTGTAAGAAAACTTTAAGATCCTGATTGAATCTTGTACAAAAACTTTAAGATCCTGACTGAATATTGTAAGAACATTTTAAGATCCTGATTGAATATTGTAAGAACACATTAAGATCCTGATTGAATAGTTGTAAGAAAACTTTAAGATCCTGATTGAACAATTGTAAGAAAACCTTAAAATCCTAATTGAATGTTGTAAGAAAACTTTAAGATCCTGAGTAGGATCTTGCCATTTTTCAGATCCTGAGTAGGAATCCTATTCCTAACCAGGATATTTTAGGATCTTAATTAGGATCCTATCTTTAACCGGGATATTTTAAGATCTTAACTGATTCCTAAATAAGATCTTGTTCCTATTTAAGATCCTATAAGATCTTAGAGGATCTTAAGTAAGATTTCGACCAGGGTTGGTTCAGACAAACATTTGTTTATGGCTATACTGCACTCCAAGTAAAAGGTATTCGAAGTATGTTGTAATAGAAGTAGCATGCAAATGCTTATTGTGAGAGAATGTTATATGTGACAAACTGTGATAACTTGCTCCCATGTTCTGCCATTTTTAACCTATGGTTGCAACTTGTAAAATAGTAGTATCTGACATCTATGTTGTGCTTAAGGTAAAGTGTTTAGACTTGTACTGTGGGCTGTTGCAGATAATGTTCGGGTTTTTTCAAAAATAGGTTATTCGCAGCCTAGACCTACGCCTTCTAGTCCTATTTATATATTTTTAATATTCAGCACTTTTTCACATGAAAAGACTGGGACTAGGTGATTTGGGGGTGTGGCAGAGGAAGCAAGCCTAGAAGGCCTAGTGGATTTCCCAACAACAAGGCCAAAACTGCCCTGAAACTGCCCTGGTTGCGAAATGCCCAATTATTGTGTTCTCAAACAGAATTATTTGCAACTTAACGGCGAATTTAAACCGATACAGGTAAAATAAACCATAGTTAATAGAGGAGAGGGTTTGGAAGCTGGGGGCGTGGCCAAATTATGTTATTGTTCTCTGCCACGTGACAATACGGGTGCATCAAAATATATTTGTAATAGGAGATTGTATTACAGAGGAGGCTGTAGTACTTGAAAAACGTCTTTTACAGAAAGAATATCCAAATACCAGGTGCAAATTGCTCCATACATGGTTGCGGGACTAGTAGAAAACACTTTGATCTCAGTATTTTTTGAAATCCAACAAAAGACGACGATTTATCGACGAAAATTCGCGAAGCGTTGGAGAGGCTTGTCACAAAGGACGCTGGATCGAGAGATAGATGCAAGTTTAAGAAATCAAATCGCTCAACAAACACTTCACGTTTGTGAAAGATACTTTGAAAAGACCCAGCCAAAACATGTAAGTTATTTTCTTTCTCTGGTAGAGGTATTGATATTTCGGTATGAACACTTGAAAGTTACAACTTAGCAGAAGTACTGTATATATTTCATGTATCAAATGATCAAATTTGTATTAACCATATGGGGAAAAATATATTAAATATTAATGATTTGCATAAAAGTGCGTTTCGGTCATTAGGTCATATTTATATAACAGTTAATCCTTGTGTTCATAAAATGAAGGTATGCATATTATTCAGGACACTGTCACTGAGGACAGTAGAAACATTTTCGTATACAGTAAACAAAGTATTATACAATATTCAAAGGCTATTTTAATAGCAAGAAACTGGCATAATAAAGTAACAGGATTTTTGTTTGGCCATGTCATAGTATATATGAGTATATGAAAGCCCCATTTACAGTTATTATTATTATCACTCACTTCACTTAATAAATCTTGTTTGCTGTGAATTTTATTATAATTACTATCTTAACAATACTTGTATAAATTAAGTCAACTTACTGTATATATAATCAGATATTTTATGTTCTGCTTTAGTTTCCACCTGCAAAAGGCTTGTAGCTGGTGCTATTCCTACCTTTAATTTACCCCAGAAAAGCATACCTCTCTACATCGACAATTGGAGCCAGGTAACATTGCTGGTCGTCACACTGGTCAGAGGAGTAAATGGTATGGTGGATTAGAAAAGGCCTTGCCGTAACATAAAACAGAAGTAATCTAGTGAGAACTTTTGTGGGGTTTTTGTACCCAGAGCTGTCATTAAGGGCCTGTAGCTTGCCTACTTCTGTCTGAACAAAGTTCATATAAACAAAACTGTGAAGCAATAAACAAACCTTTTACTTCCTCTAGTCAGAACATCAAAATTATAAAACAAAAGATTAAATGATTTCAAACAGGTCAGGCTTTGATAGGATGTTTTGTAATCTTAAGAACTCTGTAAAATACCTTCCAAAATGCAGGGAATGTGTAAAATACCTTCCCAAATGCAGGGAATGGCATTTCCAATTGTTTAGTTTTCAGGGTTAGGGTTAGGGGCATGCACCCAGACCCCTCTAGGAGTCTTGTGCCTTCAATGTTCAATCATTTTTCGGCCACCTACTTGTAAACTTAATGACAGCACTGCTCCAAAAGAGTAATATGCAATAATTTGTATATATGTTATAAAATAATTATTAAAACAGATTATAAATGAATAGGTGAACAATAAGACTAGAACATTAATATATTACCTTAGTTGAATAATTTGTAAAAATTTATACTAATATATACAGTAAATCACTATTACACAAAATTTTGTTTCACTTCAAATAGACAAGACATTGGTAGGCTCAACTTTGAGTTATCATGGTTTGAGAGACAACAACGGCTAGAATCAGAGCACACTGACGTAGTGAATAAGTACACTATTCACATCTGAAATTGGCTGTCAACCAGGGGCATAGGAACCAGGGGGCCAAGGCCCCCAAGTTTTCAGAAGATGCAAAAAGTGCCCTTTGAGTGTGGGGCAGTTAAACAATGAAATGACCAGCCTGCTTGGCGTGCACTCTTTGGCTGAGAATCGGGCCTTTCAGAACCAGAAATCGGGCTGGAGCACGACAAATGGCAAAATTTGAAACTTAACAGCCATACAGTTTACCAATATTCTCAAAACACAAGGACATACTGGCATTCTTTTGATACTGCAATGCTATTAGATTGCTCAATAATGTCATTCCACAAACTTTTTGCTAATGGAGCTTGGACATTCTTAATAACTTTATCAACGTGTAAAGAAGTAGGTTTGCATTAATTCTTGTGTGCTTTCTAAAGCACGATTCAGCAATTCTAGCAATATCATTAAGTCATGAATTTGGTACCCACAGGGCTGACGGCCCCTCCCCAGCAACATAAGCTGGGTGGTCCAAACTCTTCTGATTTCACTGATAATTACTAGCAGAATACAAACATTAAAAAATATTTCTGGGTATATAATCCTTTGCACATAGGTAAAATCTTCTGGCATCCAACAGTTGGTCTACAAAGCATTTGGAGAGGAATAAGAACTAAGTTTAATACCCTTAGGTCAATATTGTACTATACAGAGGAAATATCAAAATTTGATATTTCCTCTGTATGATATTTCCTTTGATATCTCCTTTGTCTGATATATTATAAGACTTGGTCTTGGAAACTGTGGGATGGGCATGAAATATCATGGAATTTTGGAATAACATTCTATTTTGATGTGACAGAATGATCAAAAGTAACAAATCACATGTTAGTAGACATTGAATCACTGTATATTGGTCAATATCTGGACCTGTAATTGACAATTGGACATAAGCCTTAGGGCCTACTATTTAAGACATTCATATCTAGGTTACAGTATATTGTCTATATAATAATACAGTATTAAGATATTTACTGGTATTAAAGCATGCAGTTTCTTCAGTGTTTATAATAACTTTAGAATATCTGCTGGTAATAGCAAAGTCAACCGTTCGGCCATATTCACCAGCATCAAAAGCACGACTTTATCTTCTCTGCATGGATGAAAATATTCTTTCCTTTTCCCTACCTCTCGAATGATCGACAATGCCTTCTCATATGCGTGATAAGTCATGTAACATGGGTTTTGATTTTCCCTTAATTGGCAGTCGAGTGCTTAATACTGCGTCGATATTCGCACGGGAATTGCTTTAATCCTTCAATCTAAACGACAAATATAAGTCAAATATTAAGTCTAAGGCATCTCACTACATATTGTTTAATTGGACACAGTATAAAGGACTTACTTCTTCAACTGAACGCGATATTTCTTCAGTTAATTCATCCGCGTTGATTTGCAGCAGCTAAATAGTTTCATGAAAATCGCCTCCGTCGTTGTATCTGCGTCTCCAGCACTCAGAATTGTGTGAATTTTGCTTTCTGAATCGTATGCCGAACTTGTCGAAGCCATAACATGAACAACAATGCCTCATTTTAAAATTTATAAGCACAATATCATATTTCTGTAATACTACGCTATAGTAATTTCTGAATTTGATGCACCCGAAATGTCACGTGATGTACCTTTCCAACATCTGAAATTAATTAGCTCGAAAGCCTTTGAAGTTTGCCGGCCTTCCAAACCCTGTCCTCTATTAACTATGTGTCAACAACACAAGTGTTTCAGCTTCCCCTGCAGTTCTACGGCAGAGTTTCAAAATGCTTTACCGTTACATTTTACATTAACTTTTAGCCGATTGAAAGCCACATAACATAAAACTACATTCCTTTTAATAACAAATTATGAAAATCAACGATTCTTTTGGTAAAAAATTATCTCCTATTATTTTCTCATATTATTTTCATAATATCATAGCGACTATTATTATTTTGAACATGGAGTACTTCATGTTGAATGGAATTTCTATACTTCCTCTATTAAAAAGGGCGAGGGGTTGCTGCATGCATATATTGCTAGTTTAGATACTAAGCATAACGCTGGCATTGATGATGATCACTCAAAGCCACCCAGCACCGCATATTCCTTCATCTTATTTGGCTAAGCCTGTTGACTGTCATAATACTGAGTATAACGCGAAGCCTGAGACTGAAACACTTAATTTACCAAGACCATATGGATGCACTCAATCATTGACATTTGGCATCATGCCATCAACATAAGCCACAGAACCGATAATGAACACTTTACAGCAATTAGTTCAAGTGCAAACAAGACAAGCTGAGTTAAGCACATTATTAACCAAGCAACACGTAACAAATCACCTTCCAGTTAAGGAACCACCAACGTTTAGTGGAAATGCATTTGACTATCCTGCATTCATTACAGCCTTCGATTCTATTATTTGTGATAACGTTTTATCTGACAAGGATCGTCTTTATTTTTTAAATAAATACACTGTTGGACAGGCTAACAAAGTGGTGAAAGGTTTCTTAGCTGTTAATCCAGATTACCTATAAAGAGGCCCGGAAATTGCTTGATGATCGTTTTGGTAATCCAGTACACGTGGCTGAAGCCTATAAGTCTCGGTTACATAATTGGTCGACAATTAGACGGAGATAGTGCGGATTGCACACTTTTTCTGATTTTTTGATTCGCTGCCAAGAAGCTGTAAGAACCGTAGGGTCATTAAATGAACTTGATTCTACACAAACACTTATTAAGATGAGTACCAAGCTCCCCTCGTACTCAGGTACAAAGGGGTGTCGCCAAGCTTATGAAACTAGGGCAAAGTCAGAATCTGTTACATTCAAGCATTTTATCAAATTCATTAAAGAGGAATCTGACCTCGCTAATGATCCCGTTTTCTCCCCAGACGCACTGAGGAGGGAAAGAAAACTTCACGATAAGCCAGAATTCAGAAATAAGACACGCTACGGGAATCAAAGTAAGGGTGGTAGTTTTGCAACTAATACTGAACAAAACGAACAGTATTCTAAACATCTCAGATTAAATAATAATGATAATAATCGAGTGGAAGTATCAAAGTGCCCAGCATGTGCAAATGGTCATAACTTAGAAAAGTGTCCAGAGTTTAAAAGTAAAACACTTGATCAAAGACGAGAGTTTGTTCTAAGTCAAGGCCTCTGCTTTGGGTTTTAAAGAAGGGTCATTTGTCATCCGGTTGCAAATCACGAATGAAGTGTGCGGAATTTAGTAAGTCACACCCAACGTTATTACATAGTATTAAGCCTACTCGTCGCTTGACCAAACAAGCCACTAAGCAAGGTATAAAACCACCCGCCCAAGAATCACCTGATAAGGATCCGCCAACCGATTTAAATAGTGAATCCGCAAACACAGTCAGCGTCCGTGGATCATCAAACTATACTGATGAAGATGGTGTAATAACTGCAATGTTAGTTCCAGTAATCCTTAGCCATAAGGATCGTCCAACTGTCGAAGTTCATGTTTATGCTTTGCTTGATGACGGTAGTGATTTCACATTCATTAAGGAGTCGGTTATGAATGATCTCGGCATTAGTGGAACAGAAGCGTTTCTGAAATTGAGCACCATGCATGGTCAAACCAGTGTCCCTGTTCAAAGAATCGATGGTCTTGTTGTCCAGAAGCTTGACAGAAGCGAAACACCAATACCCCCCAAAGGCTTATTCCAGAGAAACAATTCCATCAAGAAAGGAGCAGATTCCAACTCCTGAGATCGCAAGCAAGTGGGAACATCTAAGAGGCATTCCGGGTCAGCTAGCGTCCCTGGACTGCAGCATGGAGATTGGAATCTTGATTGGTTGCAACTGTCCAAAAGCTTTGAAACCTTGTGAAGTTATCCCTGGTCGAGAGGATGATCCTTACACAGTCAAGCCTCGTTTAGGTTGGGGAATTATCGGACCTGCAAACACGAGATACTCGGCTGGTGCTATCGTCGCTACAAATTGCAACACAATCTTGACTCGGGAGATTGGAATCACTAAACTCGGAGGGAAGTTCGTCTTGGATACTCGAACAAAGGAAATAATAACTCCTAAAGAGGTAGCCAGGATGTTCGAGCTGGACTTCTCTGAATGAGAACGGGAAGAAGCAGCACCTTCCAAAGAAGATCGAAAGTTTCTAGAGATAGTCAAGGATGGTATTTGCCACCGAGATGGACGGTATGTGATCCCCCTGCCCATGAAGGACAACCCGTGCAACCTTCCAAACAATCGCATTATGGCCATGAATCAATTGAGACCACTAAAGAAGCGACTGGAGTCAAACAGTAAATATCGAGAAGATTACGTAAATTTTATGGATAAAGTCATAAAAAGTGGTTACGCTGAAAGGTTACCAGAGAACGAAAGAAATGGTACTGATGCCAAACGTGTTTGGTATATTCCGCATCATGGCGTTTATCATCCCAAGAAACTGAATAAAATCCGGGTTGTGTTTGATTGCTCAGCTCAGTTCCAAGGCGAATCCCTAAATAACCACCTGTTGCAAGGACCAGATTTGACGAACAATTTGACCGGTGTCCTCTGTAGATTTCGTCATGAACCTATCGCTGTTATGTGTGATATCGAGGCAATATTCTACTAATTGAAGGTACCAGTGGAATATAGAGATTTCCTTCGTTTTCTGTGGTGGGAAAATTGTGATACGTCGAAAGATCCCCAAGAATATCGGATGACGGTCCACTTGTTCGGCGCAGCGTCATCGCCATATTATATAACAATAGTTCTGAGGAAAACAGATAGCTCTACTCTGATAAGAATTCATAACAGCAATTATCTTCAAACAGTAAACGCCCAAGAAGAACAGAGATGAAGCTAAGTGTAGCGGCTTTCAGCTCGATTCAACAATAACAGGAACCTTTCAGTCAAGTAGTGGTTAAGTATGACGCAGTAACTAGTTCCGATTTGGGACAGGTAAAGTTTTGCACAAATCTTGTTTTCAGCAGTTGGTCATGTGCATTCGTCGAGAAAACTTAGTAATTATATTTTGTAAAGTTTTGAACTAGTTTTCGTAGTCATTCCAGCTGTTTGGACATCTTGGTTTGTGCATCAATCGCCTTGACAAAGCGGGACTGTTATGTAAGTTTATCTTTTACAATTGTTACTTAAGTTAGTTTAGTGGTTTCCATTTTTAGGTTGTTTTTTAAGTACTATTTGCATGACAATGTTGTTCTGTTTTCTACTTGTTTTGTATGTGCATGCGATATATATAATGCATGTTCGTAGCTTTTATGTGGATTAGTTTACATAGATTTATCGTGTACTTTGTTCAGAACGTATTAGTTAACGCGTTTTTCTAGGTTATGTATAATTAGACTTAGGGAATTATCGTTGCTATGGAATGTTCGGAATGTAATGCTCATACTTAGTATTTTCATATATTTGTATTTCAGTTTACGACGACTTACGACTTAGATGTCTTAGACAACTATTCGTGTAACCATTCGAGATTTGAATTTCTATTTGAACATTATGGTGTAAGAATATTAAAGTTGCCCGTAAAATATATCCTTGCATTTTGTTTCTTCGAACCTTATTACAACGTGTCATGGCGTAAGCAAATCGTCATTGTTTCGAATTATCGAGCTTGCACAGCGAACGTTATACTAAGTATCTTTTATCATTATTCTCAATTTTCTATCGTTATTCCACTTAAACAAAAAACAAGTCCTCTAAAACGGTAATACGCGATTATTCAAGATTCTCTGAGAAACAATTGTTACATGATCTCTCGGGAGTTGACTGGGATGTTTTTGCCTTTGATAATGCAAATAATGTAGATCAGTCGTTCTCTACTTTTTATAATAAATTAAACAATACAATAGATAAGCATGCACCATTGAAAACCATGTCTACTCACAAAGCTAGGCAATTAATTAAACCATGGATAACAGAAGGATTGCTTAAATCCATTAAAGTAATTAAAAGGCATTGTCTGAGAAAACCAGGCAGAGTCAAAAGATCGAGGTCGGCCGATTTCCTTCATATTTATACCATTTGCTAGGAACCTTGTAAGATTACCAATGGTGGAATATGGGGTTTCGCGGACCTTTCGTTGTCGAGTTGACCACCCCTCCTAACTTTTGGGTTTCTGATATCGTAAAATCCCCTTAATTTAAGGCCAATTTTGCCGAAGCTAAAAAATCGCTTTAGGGGGTCAGAAAAGTGTAGTGGTATTTTTTTTATCAATATTTGTTGCCTAAATAAGACAGAAGCGTAGAAAACTTTCACTTTGGAACTTAAGTTTTTATATATTAATTTCCATTGTATATCGGCCTTACTGCTGACTCCAGTGATGGCCCGAAATTTAGTCTGATTTCAATAGCGTTTTATCAAAAGTGCGGCAGTTTATTGAACCATTTGCTCAATTTTGTGATTATAAATAAGTTTGTTATAAAAAGAAAACAAAGTTATCATTGGCAAACTGAATTCCTCGAATGCAGCAGACACCCGAATTTCACCGTAATTATCCTAAATCGTCTCAATTACGTCAGCCATTTCCACCCATATTTCCCGTGCTTTCGTAATCTATCCCATAAATTTATTTTTTTTACTAAAGTCTTAAAAAATAAGTCCGAAGAGGGAACATATTTGTTCTTTTCGCTTGTCTTGCAGTGATCTAATTGCACAGACTTTTAACATTCTCAAAAATACACAAAAGTTATAGTCTTAGCTATAATAGTCTTGGTACGTTTTCGAAACTAAGTCTTGCCCTTGGTAACAATCCGCTTAGAGTTTTCTAATTTGCAATTTGCACACAATAATTATTTATAGTACTCATAACTCATTACATGTAAATATTAATTCTTGAGGCGAATGTCCACGAAAACAAATCGCGGCTTGTGGCAAACTGTTGACTTTAAAACTACATTGGAGTTCCAACTTTATTTGCATATAATCATATACCTGGCACAAAAATAAAGTAAATGGTCGCTCAACTTGCTCCTGTTAACGAAACGACGGATGTTTCTCCGTTGTGACACACTTGTTGCGGGGTTTTCCCCGGCGAGAGGTTATCAAGAATGACAATATTTTGCTGGCATACGTAAAAAGTTTAGAAAGTAGTGTGTAAAACTATTCCTTGCAGCATGTTAGGAATTGCGAAAACCAAACAACAAAATCTCATGGAGGATTGAAAGGATTTAGAGCTGCAGTAGTTGAAGTCGACTCATCACAAAATCTCTATGAAGACAACAAAATACCAGACATAAGTCTACTCTATAATTTTCAGTACAAAACTAGTGGCATTCGAGTATGGAAAGCCTACGAGGTTGGAAAAGGCAAATTACTAACCTACAAAGATCATCAACTTTAACCGCAGAATGTTGCAGGTTTGAAAGTTGTTAAACCATTTGGACCTTGTCAAAAAGAACATTGCTCCATTAGCAAAGCGTAAAAAACTGCACAGGCAGAAATCTTTTCTGGATACTGGCAAGCATGTCCAAGAATTAGAGTCTGTTTCTCAGTACAATGAAATTCGAAGAAAATGTGCTGAAAGAGTAACTGGGATTAGCAAAGTTGCCAAACCAACACCTAGTGTTTTCACGCAAGTTGAGGCTGCGGAATCCAGAGTATCTGATGGAGTTCACAGCACAGGGTGGGCCAGTGAAAACATCCAAAAAGAGGCCACGATTTGGAGAAAAAGTTAAGGGATATTTGATTGAGAAGTTTCAAGCCGGAGAAACCAGTGGTAATAAAGCCGATCCTCAAACAGCCTCCAGGGAGATGAAGTTCAAGAAAGATGGATATGGTAAGCTATTCTTCCAGCCTGACGAATGGAAAACGGCTCACAGATCAAGAGCTTTTTCTCAAGGTACAGTGCAATCCTGCGTCAACAACAAATCGGTGCTGTAGGAGTGGAGGAGGAAACAGAGCAAGAGTTTACCTGAAGAAGATATGGAAGCTTGGGAAAAAGAGGCAACACTGCAAGATTTGCGGGACACTACTTACAGCCAAATGAGACAGGAACATCCCATCCAGGTTGGCAAAATAAACATTTGCGACCTTTCCCTTCCTGGTAAATTACAAAATCTGAAAATTATACAGGTGAAAACTGTCTCCAGTGAGTTAGGATTCAACATTCAAGGATCACAAGCTAGAAAGAAATCCTTTCTTGAGCCTCTATAAGAATTTGCAAAGAGCTGTAAATGTAGAAAATAAATTGGAACTGTCCTGAAAGAAGACAGTCCAACAACAACAACAATTTTTATTCCAACCATAAAAATTATTTACAATATGCATATATAATATTTTTTTCGTTTATAACAACACCACCTACAAACAAATTCATGGATGGGCATGGGCAGCCCTGTTAGTGCAATTGTTGCTAACTTGTGCATGGAAGTGATAGAAGAACAGGCCATCCGAGACGCAACTTCACCACCTAAAGTTTGGAAACGTTTTGTAGACGATTGTTTTTCATAATAAAAAAGACTAACATATCATCTTTTCATGACACACTAAACTCCATTGACCCACACATTAACTTCACTATTGAAAACGAAAAGTACGGAAAGATCACTTTCCTTGACACATTAATTTCTAGAAGGGACGGCTTAATTTCTATTGACGTTTACCGCAAACCCACTCACACAGACCGTTACTTAAACTACTTATCACACCACGACCAAAAACATAAAATTAGTACTGCAACAACACTTATCAACCGATCCTTGTCACTTCCTACTACCGACAAAAGCAAAGAAAGAGAACTAAATCATGTAACCACAGTTCTGGCATCAAATGGCTATCCAAAGAAATTAATTTCAGGATTGATCAAAAAGCGTAAGAACAAAACTGTAGTAAGCCCTGAAGAGTTAGTCCGGTCATTTTTCGAATTAGATGAAGGAAAGTCGCCACCTGCAGGAATCGCGGTTCTACCTTACATCAAAGGACTAACCGAACCCCTAGCCAGAACACTCCAAAAACATGACATAAAAGTTTACAATAAGCCAGTGAAAACCCTCGCATGCTAGTTTCCATCTGCAAAACAGAATAAGCCAGTGAAAACTATCGCACGCCAGTTTCCATCTGCAAAACAGAAACCACCAATTGAAGAGCAAAAGAACGTGGTCTACCAAATACCGTGTCAAGATTGTAGTTGGAGCTACATAGGCGAAACAGGGAGATCCCTGAAGACGAGAAAGTCTGAACACATCAGGAATGTAAAACAAAGCAAGAAGGGATCGAATGTTGCAAAACACACATGGACTCAAGATCATGTAATTGACTTTGCCAATGCTAAAGTGATAGACAAGGGAAATCATAGAAACCTTAAAACCTTAGAGTCCTGGCACACTGCACAGATGAAGCTGATAATAACTCTAATATGCTTCCAGCACAATACACAATACTTTTAAGAAAGGAACTCAAGAAACATTAATTAATTAAATATTCATATTGCCCATATGTAACATAGCATAGATAGTCTCAGATTTCATACCGCCTACTTAAGTTTAGTGTCCTTTATAGAATCATTTGTATACACCCGTCGAAGGCTATAGTCTGATAGCCGAAAGCTTGTAGAAATAAATATTAAGTCAGAGAACGTTCAATAAATAATGTTTCAACCTGGCTATGCATCCTCTATTTTTTCAAATACTATAATCTAGATCACAAATTTACAGTGTCAGATGCGCACAGACCGTCATTGACATAAATTTTCGAATTTTCTGCTTCTACTAACATTTTTAAAGTTTTCATTCACATTGTGAATCATCTGTTTATCTCTAATTCATTAATCATTTGCTACTTATATTTATTTGATAGTGTCATATAGTGAATAATGCGTTTACACACTAGCAATCCTGGATATGATATGGACGATGTAAGCTGTCCATTAAAAAATAACGGTATTCTATTTCACAAAGAACAAATTTAAATCTCACTACTTGTATTATGAATGCATATAAAGCAAAAAATTAAAGCTTATTCATGTCAAAACGAAAGCTGTTTACAAAATGTATCAAGGCGATGAACACTTCTAAACAGTGCTCATTGAAAGACATGTATAATATACTGAAGTGACATATCACACACGGGCTTTAAGTTTTTTTCATAGGGCCTTTATATAGATCAACAATCTGGATACAGTTGACGATATTTCGGAAATCAAAATATGTCGCTTTTTCGTTGCAATTCCACATCTCATCAATAAATAAATTCTTTTGGTCCGAATATCAGGATAGACATTAATACTAAAAAATTAACAACCACACTGTTCGGTGTAGAGATATATATTTTCTTGTAGGTTTAATATTGCCACGCTGTGCAAGCAGCAAGCGTGCTTTCTTTGGCAAGTCTATATTAAAGTTGAATATTGAAATCTGATCCAACTTGCTTGAATTGTAACTCAACACCAGATTATAGAGTAGAACATCACAATATAAATATTAATTTACCAGTAGAGTCCTCTTTACGATTTCTTGTTGCAAATTTACAGTAAATTTCACCAAAAGTTGCAATTTTAAAATGCTACAAACACGCTCCTTTCCCACCCCTCTCACAGTTACAATTAAATTTACCTCCCAGAATCTGGGAGGCACGTGACCAGCCGCAGCCAGGGTCTCTCCCAGATGACAGAAGGAGAGACCCTGGGAACAAGGTTGCTTTGATGCATGTCAAGAATACCAAACAGTGCCTGTACATTCTTAAACATTTTTTCAAGGATATAATAAGTTTTAAGAAAGCCTGATGAGTATACACAATTATTATAGATAAAAAACCCAGACAGCGCCGTCCTCAGGAAAGTTTTAGTCATCAAAAATATTTTTGTCTGCCTACTTAAATAACAGTTTTGCTGACTGAAGCTCCAATTAACGTTTTTGGGGGTCCCCCTCCCACACACCACATATCTCCAGGCCTGAACCCAGAGTACCAGGGAAAGTCTATTTCCATTGTCGATTAACCCAACAGCAGTGTTCTAAATTTGCTCTTATGCTTTGTTTAATGCCAGATGATTTTACCTGTCAATGAAAAATTATAGCATCTTATTTGGGTTAACTGACACATGGTAACAATACTTACCATGTATGAGTTCAGGACAATGTGATCCAAGGTTAGCTTAGGGAGGGCATGCAAACAGAACTCTTGGTCACTTTAGAACAAATCTGCGATGTGTCTGAACACCAGTTACTGTCTATCGTTCCACATTAAGCAATTAACTTTATTGTACAAGTTTTTTTAAGTATTGTGAGTTGCAAACACTTCGACAAAGTTGACATATATTAGATGGTGCACTACATGATTTGTATACCTTTTTGGGAGTTTCTTTCAGATTAGCGCTCAACATTTCAGTATATTTTTGGAAAGATACAGTAGAAGTGTGTGTGCCACGAAAGAGAAATATGAAGTTGATTAGCTTTTGTTTATTTTTGCATATGACAGCTTGACAATAATTCCTTTGCCACTCCTCCCTGAGTGTTTTTAACTTGCTAATTGAAAACACCCCAGATTCTGTGGTGTCAAGTGACCAGCCCCAACCAGGGTCTTTCCGCAGCTGGGTGCGTGCAAAGGTAAGAGCATGGGTACGAGGTTGCCATTAGTCTTCATATTTAATAAAAAAGCATGAGCCTATACTTGAATTGAGTTATCGGATTTGATACACATTGTTTTATGTGGATGACTTTACCCATATTGTTATTCAAAATATTAAGAATGTGCATCTATATAAATTATTGTATTTATTTCGAAATGAAGTAAATTCGCCTTTTTATAATTGTTCCTAGCCTGAAGAGGCTGTTCACACCTGCAAAAATCCCACTTGTAATATGAGCTCTATTTTGTTTACATGATCCAATTTTCATCCCACAAAGGTGATATAAAAATTCCCTAATAAACACTTCATCCTAGCACTTTCATTCCACCTTTTTTGCATGTAATCATCCCATCTAGGTGAGTTTACTGGATAGACAGCATGAAAATGCACTGTCCCACAGAATATAAAACATTCCATATTATTTATGGCAACTGGTCCAATGGTTTTTTTAACTTTATATTGTTCAGTATAAAAATAAATTTTAATGTATTATGTAATTGACAAGAGCATCAATATAAAAAATTATGGTGAGATCATTTGGCAGAAACCTACCTCGTGTGGCAAAGCATGAGTGTGAAGCTGTGCAGTTAATGTGCTTGCTGATATATAGTGCTGGAATTTTACAGCCTTACTACTTATTTTTTTTTTCAAATCAAATTAATCATGTACGGACGTATGTTTTTGAGCTCCTTGTTTTTTGTATGCATTTTCTTGTCTTTTGCTCCTGAGCTTGTTGGATTTGGCTGTTCCTCGTCTGGAGAAGCTTCTGCTTCAACAGATATCGTGTTTGAAGGGGAAAGTTATGAAATTAAGCTGGAATTTCCGAGTTTACTGGTCGACTTTTACAAGTTACTTAACCATGCAGAACGGGATAGGATGCTATTAGTCTATTTCACTACGTTAGCTAGTTTGAGAACTGTCACTTTTAACAGTGAATTAACCGGTTGTCATTGCTTGTTGGAGGAATATGTTTTTGCTAAACAATATTTTGAAAATGAGCAAGAAATACAACGAATTTATGTCTGGCCCTTTGGTTTTACGACGGTGTTCAGCCAAGCTAATCGTGCCCAGATTTGCATACTGTTGAAACGTACAGGTCAGGATTTGTTTTTAATTGGGCCGGTTTCACTTAATGAATTTAAGAAACGAAAGCTATCTAAATCTACAGCTATGTATTATTCAAATTCAACTGCAACAAGAAGATTGTTACTACTATCTGGTGATGTCGAACAAAACCCAGGATGGGAAAGTTATCAACCTAAAACTCAACAATCAGTAATAGAACAGAAGAGAAGCCACTAATTTAAGTATTCCCGTGCGTATTACTCAAAGAATGAATTTACATCAGCAATGGAATGTATTTCGGAGCCCAATCAACTGTATCAGCATCAATATTAATAATAGTTTGCTCTTACCGAACAACTTCAAAAACCTTAGCTTTTGTCTTATGAATACTCAATCACTCAACAATAAAGCCGCTGAGTTTACCGATTTCATATGTGATCATCAACCTGATATTGTTGCTTTAACTGAAACCTGGTTTCATGAACATGAAACTGCTGCTAGGTCCCTCTGCACGCCCACAGGCTATAAACTCTTGGACCACCCATGATCCGGCCGGCATGGTGGTGGCACTGGAGTGCTGTTCAGGAATGATTTGACTGTTAACAGAGTATTTGCTGCAGAACTCGGATCTTTTGAATACTCTGAGTGGAATATAAAAGCAGGGTACCGGCGTATCTACCACAATATTTTTTGATGAGTTTGCTAAATTCCTTGAATCTGCGGTCCTCTGTACTGACCAGCTCTTGATAACTGGTGACTTCAATATACATGTTGATGTCACTGATGACGCACGCTGATGCTGTCAAACTTCATGAGCTACTCGAGAGTACAGGTCTACAGCAACATGTTAATGTCCCAACTCATATCCGTGGACATACCCTTGACCTCATAATAACAAGACATTCCGAAAATATTGTTACTTCTCCACCTCGAACTGATTACATATTTTCAGATCATATGCCTGTTCATTGTAACCTTCTAGTTAACAAGCCTTGTCTTAAGAAAACCCATATATCCTACAGGAAAGTTAAATCCATCAATGTCGATGCTCTCTGCAACGATCTCTCCAACTCAGATCTGTCCAACTCAGATCTCTGCAAGAACATGCTTTCTATGGAGCTCAATGATCTTGTTGACTGCTATAACCATACATTGTCATCATCATTGGATCGACATGCGCCTGTGAATCACAAAACAGTTGTAAAAAGACCGACCGTTCCTTGGTTTAATGAGGAAGTCAAGTTAGCGAAAAGAGCACGAAGACGAGCTGAAAGGAAATGGAGACGGACTAAACTGTATGGTGACTTCCTTGTTTATAAATCAAAGAAAAATGAAGCCACTTTTGTAATGAAATGCGCAAATAATAAGTACTACACCACCTTCATACAAGAGAATAACAGCGATCATCGTAAACTGTTCAAGTCTGCCAAATTTCTTTTTAATCAAGAAACAGATTTGCTTTTTCCAGAATACAGCAATAATACAGTCCTTGCGAATGATATAGGTGACTTCTTCACCAAGAAAATCGAGTGCATTAGACAAGAACTTGACAGTGCAGCCACCTATGACAACCCCACAAGTGAACCACAGATCATGCCTAATGTTCAACTGGACTCGTTCAAGACATTAACTGAGGATGATGTTAACCAGATGATCTCAAACTCAAGCAAAAAATCATGCTCCTTGGACCCCATGCCCACTCATCTTGTGGTCCACTGCCTGGATGTACTTCCGCCGGTAATTACAAGAATAATAAACTTGTCCCTGCAATCCGGATGTTTCCCTGACAACTGGAAGCTGGCTAAAGTCCACCCAGGCTTAAAGAAGTCAAAAGTTGAGGTTATATTTGATAATCTTCGTCCCATCAGCAACCTTTCATTTATTTCCAAACTCACGGAACGAGCTGTCTTTAATCAAACCCATGACCACCTTACCGCTCACAAACTTTACCCTAAAGCTCAATCTTCCTACCGCCAATATCATAGTACTGAAACTGCTCTTCTATGTGTGAAAAATGACATCTTGATGAACATGAATAAACAACACGCGACTCTTTTGGTACTGCTTGATTTGAGTGCAGCATTCGATACTGTTGACCATACCATCCTGCTAAATCGACTACGCTCTAGCTTTGGTATCACAGGTTGTGTACTAACTTGGCTTAAATCATACCTTGAGAACAGATCTCAATGTATTTCTATCAACGGTGGTGAATCCAGATCATTTGAAATGAAGTATGGTGTTCCGCAAGGCTCTTGTCTTGGTCCTGTCTTGTTTGTCATCTATGCAAGCAAACTGTTTACTATTCTTGAAAGCCACCTACCAGATGTTCATGCATTTGCAGACAACTCACAATTATACATTTCATTCAAACCTGCCTCTATGATCGAGCAATCCGCTGCCATTAAGGCAATGCAAGATTGCATCACAGACATCAAGAAATGGATGCTAGCAGACCAACTGAAGTTAAATGATGATAAAACAGAGTTCATCATCATCGGAACAAGGCAACAGTTGGCAAAAGTAAGTGTTGATCCACTGTGCATCGGAGACGAAATTATCAAACCATCTAGCGTAGTAAGGAATCTCGGCTCCTGGTTCGGTTCGCAACTGAAAATGGACTTACACATCAAAAAATGCTGTAAAGCAGCATTTTTCCATCTATTTAATATCAGACGTATCAGAAAATTTCTCAGCTTTGATACTACACAATTTCTTATTAACGCTTTCATTACGAGTCGACTCGACTATTGTAACAGTCTCTTGTATGGTCTGCCCGCCAATCAGATATACAAACTCCAACGAGTACAGAACTCCGCAGCAAGACTGATTTGTAATATTAATCAATTTGATCACATCACCCCTGCGCTGTATAAACTACACTGGTTACCTGTTAGATACAGAATTAACTTTAAAATATTACTTATCACTTATAAGGCAATTAATGGTCTCGCTCCTGAATATATTTCTGAACTCATCAAATTCAAGGTTGCATCCAGATACAATCTACGATCATCTACTGAACTGTTGCTTGAGAAACCGGGAACAAAAACATTAACCCACTTTGGGTGACTGATCGTTCCAAGTGGCTGCACCTACGCTGTGGAACAGCCTCCCAGCAGAAATTTGTAACGCCTGCAATGTTGCATCATTTAAGAAAATGCTTAAAACCCATTTTTTTATGAAGATATTTTCCTCCATGCTGTCATAATTAGGACAAGTAATATATAGCAGCCCTGTAGGTTCTTAGATTTATTGTAGGACGGTTTTTAAATTAGTGTAATATTCCAATTTTCTATTTTGATGTAATGCGTGAGTGAGCATCGTCCTATGTAACACACGCAATATAATTGCAACTTAAGGTTAAGGGAAAGATCAGGCCAAGATTTCTCAAATATCTAGCAAAAATGGACCTCTTTCTAATTTGATCCAAATTATCCAGTCAGCTATGGAAAGCATCCTAAACATATATTATTTATTGTTAATTAATATATAAATTTCAAACCGTACAAATACAACATTTTTCTGTTGTGTTGTTTTCTTATTGCTCTCTGCAAAAATAGACGGAGCAAAAAATCCTGTAATACTATATAACATCCATCTGACTTACTATTAATCTTTATAGTATATTGATCTAATGATCTTATACATTATATATAATCGAATTATGCTGTGTTGGTGTAATGTACTCAGGTGAATAAGATGTTTGTGTGATGTTACTCTGAGTGTATATCCACACCGGGCAGGCCTGAAAAATATGCCTGGCCACGGCGGGATTCGAACCTACAACCTTTGGAATACTAGCCCAATGCTCTTCCAACTGAGCTACGCGGTCAGGACGGCTTGAGTATGCGATATTTCGGAACTGAGTCTAGTTCCTTCGATATCAGTGTAATCTAATAATCATGAAATCTGCTGTGTTGGTGTAACCAACTTCACAGCTGTTGTGAAGAAGAACGCCAATGAACACGGAGATGTGTTTCTGCGCGTGCGTATATATGAAAAGTGTTCGTACCACAATCATAAGACAATCAAACAGCATTCAAAACAGGCAACACACCACGTGCGATTCCCTCGGCTACCCATGTGTTTACAAACTAAACGCATGCTTTGAGGGAAATTAGTGATTAAATGTCCCCGCAAACCTCGGGAGGTTTAGTAAAAGTCACTTGGGCTACGCCCTCGCGGCTTTTACTAAACCTCCCTCGGTTTGTGGGGACATTAAATCACTAATTTCCCTCAAAGCATGCGTTTACTTATAATAAATACATAAATTTACCAAGATGATACAAATAGATTTTATCAAATTTTAAAATCTTTAGTTCACTAAAAATGGGATCAGAATGTGTGTCAAATGGTTCTTTATTCTTTCTCAAACGCCACCATTTCATTGTGATCCATCTGAACTAATTTCATAAACGAATATCATCATTCTCTGGCTGCCCTAAGGTCGAAATCCTTTTTCATATTATCAAATTCTATGTAGGTTTATCACAAGCAATAGTAAATTCGGTTGAAAACTGGTTGAGTATTGATGCTGTTCCTGTCAATGTTGAATTATCTTCAAGGGACAAAGGAAGATTAAAAACATCTGTCTTGTTTATAGACTGTGTGCTCTTGCAAAATCATCAACCAGAGGGATCTTAACTCTGAATTTGACACATATATCCTCTGCCCTTTCTTCAAATTTGATATTACGTAGCCAGTCATGGACTTCTGCTTCAATCATTTCATTAATTTGCTTTGGTGGATCAGGAACACGGTTTAAACTTTTGTCTAATAATTGCAGATAATAATTGCAGATAACAATCGCACCATTTTTCCCACAACATTTTGTGTTCAGACATGGACTCTGTAAATTAAAATTAAAGCTTAAAATTAATATACAGGTACGATGTACAGCCAATGAAAATGGGTATTGAATTGGGGGTACAAACAAATCTTGATATTGACTATATAGTTTCTTATGCATAGCAACTTCAACTTTCACCTGCATGTTTTAAAAACAACTGATATGAAACAAAAATATATACCATGTGGATTAATAACAGTTAGGATGAGTCAAAAAAATTTTCAGTAAAAAAATAGGGGGTAATAATTTTTTATGGAATTAGACTTCAGTTCCCCGGCCCACTCTTACACCTCTCTCAGCTAAAAAATGAATGCTCCCTTAGTTTAGGTGAAAAATTTTTTGATCTGTTTTTAATGTCTGAAAAAATTTTCACCCGCACTCCCCCCCCCCCGAAACAAAAATTTGCCCCGGGTCCCCGAAGTTCTCTGATAAGCCCTGTGCAAAGCAATGCTTTGAAATGGTGCAAAGATAAAGTCCTCCTCCGTTTTGATGGCCTGCGAGCACCATAGACAGTTTGACGTTATGCGCATGCGCCAGTTCAAGATCTGGTATTTTTATTCTGTAAAGGTATTTTTATTCTGTAAAGATGTTTTTATACAGCACATTGTTTTTAATTTAAATTTGGTAATAAATTTATAGTGGCTGTCAACCATAAAACAAAGTTTGAAAGGCATATTAAACACGAATTCTGTCGAATGTCGTTTTACTTTTCGATAAAGTACAGATTGAAAGACACGGTTATGATCTACAAGTACCCGAAGTTTCATGCATGTAGCATAAATAGAAATATTTTTATTGAATTTTTATATAAACTAGGTAGTGGAGTAAAATTTACATTTTGTGCTCACATGAAACAAATACCTCTATCAAAGGTCCTTTTTTATTGCTGCAACATGTTATCAATACAAATTTCCAATATTTCTTACTCTCCAAAGATAGTATGGCACCAAAATAAGTCTGTGATACCCACAAAAGAACACTCAAATCATGATTAGCAAAATGTCTTTATTTCTACAATTACTACATACATTCTTAGATAATCATTACACCATTGACTTTAGTTATTAGTGGCATAACCAGCCTCAAAATTGGGTCATGCTATTCAAATTTGAAATAATCACTACTCATTTGTTTAGAAATTGATTGTTTTCACAATCTAGAACATGAAAATATTTGCAAATAGCATGACCAAGTGTTGTTGGGCTGGCATCATCATAATTAGTAGTTATAAAAAAGTAATGTTTTCCAAGGCAGTAATGTTTGCTAAAGCAGTAATGTTTGCCAAAGCAGATAATTGGATTATGTGGTGAAAATATTTCCTTTATATTGTACTACAAAAGACCTAAGACTGTAACCAAACTGATATCAGATCACCACGTCATACCCAAATCTGTTGCGATGAATATCTGGACTTCTTCCTGTATAAATTACAAAGTCGCAATATAACCATTAGGATTGTCTGCAGCAACCCACAGATTTATTCCCCACATAGTAGGTCATCTAGCTTTCATGAACTGCCTAACCCCCAACCTATTTCTTGATTTGACAGTGTGTTTGTCTGCAACAACAATATTCTGTGACGGCTGGTACAGTTGTTGATGCAGTTTATTGCTGTAGTTTTTAGTACAGGATCTACCATATTCACAAACGCCATAAGCGCTTTGTACCTAACCCGAGAAATTATGTCTATTGCCCACAGACCATGATATAAGGTTTTTACACTCCAATAATTTTCAATCTCACTGTCGACCTTTAGCAAACCTGCATATTATACTAAAAGGCAATCAACCTCTCAAGGTTGGTGGACTGCAACACCCTTTTTTTATTAGTATATGGGGATAACTTTTGAGTTATTTGTATGTGGGCATATGTATTGGTATGGCCAGGAAACTACCTCCTGAAGCATTCCCTTAGTAAAAAAGAGTCGAATGAACTCAAGCTCACAGTTGATCGAAATGGATCCTGGACATGTCAGTGAGGAGCAAAATCTGGGAGAACATTCCTGGCGTCAGGATCATCATATCCATCATGTACTATGGGGCCTAGTGGGGATGCTAGACAGGGAGCTTTCGAAACCTTAGGTCCTAATGGCTGGGCTTCCCTCTACCTCTGCTCATCCCCCTACCTTCCCTCTGGGTTGGTGAGTGGGGTTCTCATGGCTCATCAGAACTCTACTTCCCTGAGGCTATGAAACAGGAACAGCAGATAGGAACAGGATCAATATATTCATCAGTGCGAATAAAAACTTTTATAGACATGGTGCCACTTAAAATTATAATAAGAGCCAACTAGTAAGATATAAGTATGAATACTTGGCTATTATGTATGTAACAAAACAACCAATCATGTGCTCAAGGCTCATTTTACTTTGCCTAGGAATCAAGAGATTTTTATGCCACATGTAAAACACCATAAATTTTCATCAACAATATAAATAAATACCATTTATATTTGTCAATATCAGTATGAAACGATTATTTCAACACAAAAAAACGATATGAGGACATACTTGGTCGTACTAGTGAAGCTATACTAAATACAAATAAATTTACAACGCCATGGCAATGGCAAAACATTGAAATAGAAATTGTCTAGAAATGATACAAATACTTGCCTTGAAACTCCAGACACGACTCCCAATGCCAGGCTGAGATAATTGTCTTCGTACGAAGACATTCCATCATTACTAGCACTATCAGGTTGCAAAATAAAGCCAAAAACGTCTTCAGAATGCGATTCAAACAAATACAATACATTTCAACGCTCGTGCGTTCCCGTGCGCGATAATCAGGAGAATTGCTCTAAAAGATTTGTTTTTCTGCCTAAGCCAATCAAAATCCGTATCTAGGGTAAACAAACACTCCGGAAGTGATTCCTGCAGTCTTTTACCAGGAAACTGTAATGCTTTACCAAGAATTTGGTGTCCGAAGTTGGCCGAACACTTTCCGATCACGAGAATTGCCATAATAGGCTTAGATTATTTTGCAATTTCCCGAGACTGCTCCGAGCTATAGAATGGAAGATGGCGATTCTTTTGGTATATTTGTTATTATTATACGTTGAAAAGAAGCAAAAAGATGAGCATTTGAATCAGGCGGAACATTAAAAATGCAACAGCAAAATTGATAATGTGTCATTTGCATAAATTTCACCGCATTGATCATTTCAAGGTAAGAAATTTGCTTGAAATTGAGCAAGAAACAATAAAATTATATGAATATTTCTGAATATATAGTATCAACCAAGCGGATTTTTTTGGTGGTATTTTCGTATGTCTACTGCAAATACTCGCGAAGTTCTTTAATATTTAATCTTCCCATCATATACGTCAGAAATTAATATTGGCGGATCGAATTGAGTTAAGGAAGTTTGGTAATAGGAGAGGTTGTAACATTGCTGAAATGTCGATATGTGAACGAGGAATACACTATAGTAGTGATATTTTGAGTGTTTTTTATTGAGAAGGGGGAATATACAATAGTAGTGATCTCTTGCGTGTTCTTTTCAGAATGAGGAATACACTATATTACACAAGCCTTATTCTCAAATATCAACCTGCGAACAGGCATATGCATTACGGGCTGTATGGCCTGCGGAGGATGTAGATATATAGTAGTGATATTTTGCGTTAATTTCACTTTGTATCATAGCTTGCCCAGTTCGTATCATAGCTTGCCCAGTTCCACTAAATAATGGGAATTCATAATAATTATGTTTTTTAATTTCACTTTGTATCATCGTATCACTTGCCCAGTCCTAATAAATGACGCGACTTATAACAATGACGTCATTATTTTCACTTCGTATCATCGTATTACGGAAATAAAAGTCACAAAAGTGGACGGGTACTCTATAATCTAGCCTAATGATCTACACTGGATGATGATGAGCAGAGTTTTTCTGGGGGTCCTGCACACCAATAGAGGGGGGGGGGGCATCCCGACAGTCACTTGTACAATAAGTGGTTTACCCCTCCAGCATCAATAACTAATGCTTATAATTCATTATGCTTTTGTGTACTGTACAAGTTGTTGTTTTGTCTTTTCCTTTACACATGTTGTTATACGACAACTTTTTTTTTGTAGAATTTCTCCTGCCACATGATGACTTCTCACGATCTGACAAATTTCCTAATACATATACAGAGGAAGTACAAAGTTACCTCCCAAATAATGACAGCTCAAGTGAGTCCAACCAGCCAACAACGGAAATATCAGGTGAAGGATCTGAACGCATCCAAGAAGGCAGTTTTGAAAAGGTTATCTTGGACTGCATAAAAAAATGCAATACAGTGAATATTATAGACCCCATTGAAATATTGAGGTGTGCTTCGACATATATAGTACAAGGCTGACCACTTGACATAACTTCAGCATCAGATACAGTCGAAGGTGCAACCAATTTTATTCATGTAGACAGAGAAGGAGTTTTACAATCTGCATTTGAAGAGATAAGCTCTTTAGAGAATCTACGACTTACCTTGGAAGTTTCACTCTATGGCGAACTGGTGTCAGATTTGGGTGGTCCTAGGAAAGAGTTTTTTATGCTATGTCTGAGAGAAATACAATCAAAGTACTTTGCTAAAGGGTTGCGAGATTACATGAGTGCGGATTATGAAGTTGTTGGGTTAATAATGGTGCTTAGTATGTTACAGAATGGATGTGTTCCCCATTTTCTGACTGAGGAAATTATCAAAGAAACATTCATGACAGAATCTCCTTCTCTGTGTATCGCTAATCTACGAGCAGGGTTTGCTAAAGTTGGGCTCTTTCAAATTGGCAACAAACTCAAACAGATTGACACGAAAGAAGTTGATTAGTCTTCTTGAGCCATCTTTTTCAGAGGAAGGTTCAAACATGTGCCATTATGAGAATGCTGCTTATAGAACATTCTCAAATTATGTACGTATTGTTGCTAGTGGTAGAAGGAATCAAGTGGCATTGGGAAATATTCTACAGTTCTGTACGGCGACTGATGAAGAGCCACCCATTGGTTTCGTCATGCATCCATCCATCCAATTCGTTACAGCCTCGTCTTCCTCCAAATGTGCATTTATTTCCTTCCGCGAATACATGCAGCCAAGTTGTGACATTTCCTATACCTTCACATGATATCCCTTTGCCAGATGAAGTTGAGCTATTTGAAGTGTATGACTATGCATTTTGTAACAGCTATTTTGGCCTTGCTTAGATTTGTAACAGGGTTGCACAACTTCACCTGTAAGTTATATTGATAAAATTGTATCAAGTTTGTTGTGTTATTGGCTTTGTTTAAATTGAACAACTAGGGATGAAGTGTTTATAGTTTAGGACGATCTTTATATTTATGTTCATAATGTAAGCTTGAACAGCAAGTTATTTGTTGATAAAGTAAAACAGAATACCGTCTATCAATTCTTGTTGCTATAGTTCTTCAAAACGTTGCCAGTACAGCATATGATGTAATTAATATTTTTTTTATATTTTAAAATGCTTGGTGAAGGTTAAGAGGTTCAGTAGCTGCCGTGTTTGTGTATACATTAAGCACAATTCTGTACACCTACATGGCGGCCTAATAGCAAGTGTTCAAATGATGCTTAATTTTAACCTAAATGTTTTGAATCTTGTTAAAGTGGAATTGCCGAGTTGGAAAACACTTCTTGGCCTTAATCAAGCATTTAAAAACATAATTGTGTGTATAATACAGTAGTTTAAACAGTCTTTGAAAATATAGTGTTAATATCATCCATATTTTCAAATTGTTAGCACTCGTAACAGCTATCCAGAAAAGATGTGAGACAGCCAACGTTGGATTCAATTTTAGAATTTGTCATGTGATCAGTGAAAACAGTGTGTTAAAACAGTTTTCTGTTTTCGATGAGAAAATCGTTTCTAATGTACATATTATCTCAGTTACCCCAACTAAATGGTTCAATTTTAGAATCTGTCATGTGATCAGTGAAAACAGTCTGTTAAAACAGTTTGCTATTTTCGACGAGAAAATCGTTTCCAACGTACATATCTCATTTACCGCAACTATTTGTACATGATATGGTACTATTACACTATGGGACCATTTAATTCTCCAATTTTACTTTCTGCAAGTTGGAGAGCATTTACATAAATGTCAACTCCCATGTCATGTGATGGAGAAAGGGGGTTTATGTTCTCTAATACAAATGACCGTATCTCTTCATTATTATCAAGCATCACCTCTGGAACTACTACAGTGCCGTTGTCTTCCAGGGGTGATGGACCTTGGGGATCATACCCGTAATATTCAACATCATCCGGGTTATCATGAAGCTGCGAATGGGCAAGAAGATTTCTTTCATGCATCATACCATTAAGCCACATCTGACAAGGAGTCCAGTTGTTCTCTGTCCTTACTGCATGAGGGTCAAATGCCTCTTTGTATTCGTCTAGGGCATGATTAATTCTTGGAAGATAGACCAGATGTAAAGCAAACAGATGCATTGAATCTTCTGGGTTAAGAATTCCAGACATTTCCATGCCGTAAAAAACATAATAATACATGTGGCAGACACATCTATATACATCCCTCCGGAGCCGCTCAATCCTTTGATTGTGTGTGGAAGGACCAGGAATAAAACTGCCCCTTCCTTCTCTCGCCATTACCATAGGTTCACAAACTAACACGTTTTCCACACCTCGGTCTACACGAATTCTCGATGGCCATAAGCCTCTAAAAATAATGTTAACACAGTCTCAGCTAAGTTATTTGAACTGCATTTAAGAAACATTATTCTTCTAGAGAATCCGTTGATGCACCTATCAATAATCAGTTTCCATCTTATGAGTGAATGATGGCCGTCCAAATGCCAAAGAGAATTTGGCCAAGGTACACAGTAGACCCTGCGGGAGACAGTGACACCCCACCTCAATGCAGTATTTTGTGGGTCTAGCAAGGCTAGACATTCCCTAATTCTGCTGCGCTGCACATGGTATCCTAGGGATTTTATGTAGCCTATGATATAAGTCTGTCCAGATGTTGTTCCGTGGTGATCTATATAATTTCTGATGAGACGGTCAAGCTCTTCATTTGATAACTGACTAAACCCACACATATCCTCCAAACCATAGTCCTTAACTCTTCTTGAAATAGTCCATCTTGAGACACCCAATATTACAGCAATCTTTGTCCAGGAAAAACCAAGGCTTCGTAGGTCTTCTAAAACTTCAGATTTAATGCGAAATTTTGGTCGTCCAACTTCCCCAGGGTTTCTTCCGTCAGTTACACAAACATTCTCTGCAACTGTTGCTGGTGTTACAGACAGTGTTGATACAAGCTGTTGCATTGCGGAAAGGATATCTGTGAACACATCTGAAAGTGTCTTTAAATGTTCTAAGTCATTTGTTTTGAGGATCGCGTAAACACCTGGCAGGCTTAACTCTCTGAGCAGACCTACGACTTTATCAACGACAATCAAATGCGATTCCAGTTTGCTTAAATCTGTGGTTTGTTCACAGCATACCAATTCAACTTTGTCAAGAATGTATATTAAGAACGTCGGTAAGTCTTCTAAGTTAAATGTCTCGTTTTCGGATTCCATAGATTACGCTATTCCCATACTATTTCATTCAAAAACACTAATTTTTATTCAACAACAACTACTATATATTTCAATCTTGCATGGCCCGTTTTGGCGGGAAAACTCCTATGCTCGACCCAGGCCTCCCATATTTGGTCACATGCATCGAATAAACTGGTTTGTCATGATTGAACATTGAATGTTTCATTGAACATTGAATGTGTCATGATTGAACATTGAATGTTTGATTGAACATTGAATATTTCATTGAACATTGAATATTTCATTGAACATTGAATGTTTCATTGAATATTGAATGTTTCATTGAACATTGAATGTTTGATTGAACAATAAATTGTTGACGTTTGTGTGCGTATTTTAAGAACTGAATACAATAAATACAGTTATTGAATATTGCTACAAATGGCTTGCATATCCAAGTCCCCCATCATCGGGGATATATTTACAACCAAAACTGACCACTTTCCCCCTAAATCCTGGGTTTACAATGACTGGTGCATAAGGCATGTGAGTTATCTAAACATGTGAATTCAATACACCCTTTCAATAATTATGTCACACATACATTTTGGTCTTGGAGCCTTACTCTCATTAGTAAATTACACTAGGTGATTGGCTCAATATTTATGACAGCAAGGCTCTCAGGCCAAATGATGTAATTATTCAAAGGGTGTATTGGGTAGCAATATAATACTGTAAAGTGTAAACATTAGCCAAATTTGTCTATTTATACAAATATAAGACATAATTGACATAATTGTGTATTCATCTACATAAGAGAATATAAATATGAGATCCAGTTACACATTATATCCCATCACCCATGTATTAAAGAAAACACTGACACTTTAAAGTTATTTAAATTCATATACAAATCAATGTCTTCCCCTAATGAGGGGGGAGTGTTGGCATACACACACACACACACACAGAATTGACAATGGTTTCTCACTCAAGTTATAACTTGACCAATCTGCTGTGGTTGAAATTGTTATTCCAAAAGTATTTTTAGAAATATACTAAAAGTCACTAGTCTGCATGACCCAAGTCAGCATAAAAATGTTTAACAACAACACAAACAAACTGAGATTGAGTGCAAAGAATTTATCAAATATCTGGGGGTAATAATTGATAGTAGCCTTACCTGGAAGTATCATATAGACAACATTTCATCTAAGATAAGTAAATCCATCGGAATAATTACAAGGCTTATACATTTTGTGCCTCTTTCAACCTTACTTAGCATATATCAATGTTTAATACTGCCATATATAACCTATGGTATAATTGTATGGCGACAGGCATCAAATGTTTATTTAAATAAGATTCTTATTCTCCAAAAACGGGCTTTGCACCTGATTAATTTTAAAAATAATAAAGAACATGCCATCCCATTGTTTAGTATTATAAAACTGTGTGTAACTTAATGTATGATGTCTCTAATAGTTCTTGCCCGTCTGCAATTTCTGATTGTTTTATCCAGGCAAGACATATGCACACCCATAACACTAGACATTGCACAGCTAACAATTTTTACATTCAATACTCAAGATTAAACAAACATAATGAATCTTTAGTAATTTAAATATCCTTCCTTTAAAGTGGAAGTCAAGTCCGTTCTGCGCATTATTTCTGCGCATTATTTCTGCGCATATTGTGAGGGCCCTCGCCATTGGAATGTTAATTGAACAGCGCATGCGCATTTCGTGTATTCTTATCTGATTATATATTCAAGTTTCAAAGCAACATGGAGGAAGGCGAGAGCTCATCCAGAAGTGTTGCTAGGGACGAAATTGAGAGCTTTCACGTAGTTACTACCGAAGATAAAAAGGTAAAACGAAAGGGATACCTGGCCAAAAGGGACGCGACAAAGATTTGTCTTTATGATGAGCAATTTACGCGGTGGCGGCAGCTAAAAAATGATTTAAATGTGAAGACGGACAAGGAACTAGCGACCTTGCTTCTTGATAATTATTCGAGCACGAAGCAAGTTTTAACGACAAGGTAGGAAAGATGTATTGTATTTATAAAATAATTCAAAATTGGATTAAACAGTGGTTATATCTCCTTTTATAAATCTTGTAGCGAAGCGGAAACACAAACAGATGAAAGTCATCAGGTCACAATGGAAACTCTATTGTCCAAATCTCCAGGTAAATTTTGTGATATAACAGCTGTGTATTTGTTTTTGAATGTTACAGTAATTACGACTAAAGTTTGTATTATATTTATGTTTTTATAGTTCTAACTTCAACGCCAAAGGAAGGAATACATCGAACTGAGCATCCTCTTTCCACTCCAAAACGTAGACGATTGTCAATGACAAATATGGAGACGAAACATGGTACTCAAACGTCTGCTGAATCTTTCTCTATGAGGTACGTGGTATTTGAATTTGTGTTTTACTCGAATGAATAAGACTCGTATGGATAAGATTTCATAAATGACTAGATATTTGATATCTTTTTATTTTTCACCATTTCCTGTGAATGTGATTTCGCAGACATGCATTTGATATCATACAGCTGTATATAACTTCTTGAGTCATTTGATATTTGTTTAAATATTTGATGCTTGACACGTTGACAATGCCACACTCAATAACTTGATTGATATTTATGATGTTACTCTGAGTGACAAATTTGAAAAATATGCCTGGCAATGGTGTGAATTAAACCTAAATCCAAATGCCCTGCCAACTGATATACATGGTCATGTCGGTTTGAGTATGTGATATTTCAGGACTGAGTCAAGTTCCTTCAAATTCGACCCGACCTGACTGCATAGCTCAGTTGCCAGAGCATAGTATTGCATAGGTTCAATTCCCATGGCCTGGTATATTTTTCAAGCTTGCCCGGTGTGTATACAGATCATATTCATCTGAGTACATGGCACCAACATAGAAAAAACCATTAATGTGCACATGAGTCATTATTAACCCCCACCCACCCGGTGGAAAGGTGGGGATTTGTTTTGGCCACCTTCATCAAATAGGCAAAAGCCCCCATACCAGGGAACTACTTTCTCATAAAAATTGTAAAAACCCTCTTATAGTGTACTTATGACAATTTTCCTCTTTCCATGTGTTTTCTGTTGCCTTGGTTTTGTAGTGTATAACCATTGACCATATATATGCATTGTACATTCCCCTACCCATGGGGGCAAATAACATGCAAAACGTTTTAAATGCCCAGCGTAATAGGCCAACAAATTAATAGTATCCCATGTTAACTGCACTGTGGGCTGGGTTTAACATTTACTCATGCATAAAAAGTTTTGGCATTTAAGGAAACTTAGCCCAAGCAGATTTTGGATTTATTTATGCATGTTTTAAATTAGAACTCAACAGTTTCTGTATCAATAAATTCTGTATCAACAGTTTCTGTATTCAATATAAAGATAGACTACATGGAAAATATAGATAAAACTTCAAGTTGAAATATTCTCTATATTTTCCGATATTCACACAAATGAATCTACCTATATGTTTTAAAAACCTGGCATTTCATAGTTTTTTTACCAGTTTAACTCTTTGTAAAATTTTGAAATACCACATACTTGCAGGTACATGATGCATTAGAAATGCATATACTTATGTTTTAAAATATCAATATTTATAACATAGGACTAGTTTGAATACTGGTAACTTAGAGAAAACCCTGACAGCCAGTGAATCAGATGGCAGTGATACTGAGCGTTCAGATGCCTTTAGGTAAGTGTTACATGAGCTGCAGTTTACTTTTATATGTTGTAGGACTGTTCGGTATACCGATATATTAAAAATATCGGTATCAAATCAATATTGGTATATATCGATACCGAATATTCAACCATACCGATATACCGAAATTTCCAATATACCGGAATTTTTCGGTATACCGTGTTAAATTTACCAACTATATGACGAAACCATAACCTTTATTTTACTACTGAATGGCAATTCAAATAATTTTCTACGGCAATGATTTAGAATTTCCACTTCAGTGAGATTTTACACTTCGAAATTATCGTTTTCCCCTTAAGAATTACTCAAAATTTCCTTGAAATTTCCATTAAAGAATTTTCCTTTATAATTATCAAAGAAAAACCGGTATACCGATAATATCGGTATAATTTTTTTGGTATACCGATACCGGAAATTTGTCATACCGAACATTCCTAATATGTTGACAATACAAGTTAATACTACTGTAAAATTAGTATTTATATAATTAACTGTTATCCAGATTTCAAGATGATCTTCCAGATCTAGAAAATATGACACTGGAGGAAGAGGTGTATGATACACAAATTGAAGGTCATGATGATGATGGTGATGTTGATGATGAAGAGGATGGTGATAGTAGTGACAGAGGACCTTGTCAAAGTCAAGTTGTCAGGATTGCACCAGTTGACATACCCACACTTGAGTTTTGTTTGGTTTCAACCTCAGCAGTCATGGATCTGTTGCACAAATTGCATGGGCCAATGTGTAAACGAAGAGAGTGTAACAGAGAGCTAGATTTTGATAATAGCTTTGTTGGTTCATGCCTTGTTGTTCATTGGTCATGCAGTGCTGGCCACTTTGGTGGAAGGTGGTCTGCACAACCCCAATGTGAAGGCATTCGTGCTGGCAATCTGCTCTTAGCATCAGCCATACCATTATCGGGGAATTCCTACACAAAGGTAGGATTTCTATGCAAAGTGATGAATCTGCATTTCTTCTCAAAAAATCTCTACAACCAATACCAGAGCTTGTATATTGGACCTGCAGTAAATGATTATTGGGAAGTTTTGAGAAATGATGCATGGAAAGAAAGAGAAGATAAAGAAATCATCCTGAGTTCCGATGGAAGAAATGATTCTCCAGGACATTCTGCACAGTACTGTACATATTCCTTTGCTGATATGGACACAAAATGCATATTGGAGCTCAATATTGTTGATGTCAGGGAAGTGGAAGGAAGAAAGAGCCCCAACATGGAGAGAGTTGGTTTCGAGAGAGGATTGGATAAGCTAATCGGATCCCAGATGAACATTAAAGAGGTGGTTACGGATGGCCATTTGGAAATTGGTGCTTTGATGAGTAAGTGTGTGTAGCA